ATACAACATAAAAACAAGATTCCAATGAATCTCTTTTACTTCCCTCCTCCCCTTTGTGAGTCCTATTGTTAATCATTTCCTCCTGCATCTTTTATAATAATCCAAATCTTTTATCTCTCCATTGTATCCAAAATTCACCATTAAACTACAAGTGATATTCCAATCCTACTAACGATTTTAACTGTTTAAGGTGGTCTTTAAGAAAAGTTATATATTTTCCCAATTCCTTTATTAACATTTTGGTTTTCCTGATTTCTGTTTCTTCCGGTCATTTTAGCCATTGCATCTCCATGCTCGGGGGGGGGGGATATTGGAAGTTCTGCCTCTCAAACAACTCCTTGGCAAGGCCACTTTAGCCTGCCAGGGAAAACAAAACAAAAATAGGCGACAGCCCTGACGTCTGAACGCAGACGATCCATTCCCAGGGTCAGCAAACCTGGGAGAGAGACCCAAACCCTGGACAGCTGCTTGCAAACCGTGCGGACAACACAAAATTACATGGGCCTATGCTCAGACCCGGTATAAGGCAGCTTCCTCTGTTCGGCGGGCCACATTCCTCCGAGGTGGCATCCACAAAGGGCCGGAGCAGCTTCCACCACGGAGGAGGGATGGGGGGCGGGGACAGGGAGACCCCACAACACACCGGCGCTGCAAACCTCCCACCCGGAACAGCGCACGTAGCAGCGCGCGAGCGCGCTTTCCGCTTACCTGGCCCGAGCAGCTTCCTCCGCCTTCCCCGGCCCCGCCCCTCTGGGGGAAGGGCGCACGGTGCGCGCGCGCGCTCTCCCGCTCCCGGCTCTGGAGCCTCGGCAGTCGAGGAGGCGCGCGAGGCGCGCTTGGGACTTCGCGGGTCGCTGTTGTGAGGCGGTCGAAGCGCACAGGGCATCTTGTTGGCGCGCAGGCGCTCTCTCCCTTTGCCCAGATACTGAGGGTTGTGACAACTCAATCTACCCCGCCACCAATTCTCGTGCAAGCCGCAACACGTTACTTCACAACACGTCGAAACACGAAAAGCACAGCACAGTTAAGGAGGGTTTTTTTTTTGCTGCTCTTAACGATAGAAATACAGACTGTACTCAGACCGTACTCCTCCTCTCCACCGCAAAGAGGCTTATGTAATGAATGGATTGATGGATGGATGGATGAATTAATCTTTATTTGCGTCAGCCATCGGCCATAGCAATAAAACAACAATATGATATATAAAGAACAGAAATAAAAAGTCAATTATATAAAATACATGTTAGGGTTATGAATCAACAGTCAAATTGTGGATCTTATTCTGATTGCCCCAGCTAAAAACCTTGCAACCTTTGCTGTCACCTGCTCATCTTGATCTGCCAAGAGAAAGGACTCTATGGCAGTGGCTGGGCGACCAGGAATGGACAATAAAAGAGGGGTGATAATTTCCTCAATTGTTTAGAAAGAGTGCAAGCCAGAAGGGCTTATGTAAAATACAACTACCTTTCCAACTAATTGGCCTCTTCATTGCAGTTTAGGAAATTGTACAAACTTCACTTTTTTAGTGCATGAATACTTCTGCAAAGTTAAAGCTGCATTAAGAATGAAGCTAAAGGTAGTTTCACTTTCTGAGCAATTGCAATAAAGACTTCTTACTTTCTTCATTGGGGATACCAACCACGTTTCCCAAAGGCAAAGAGACCCATACTGAAATAACTTTTTAAACTACAATAGCAGTGATCTAGTGCAAAATCACGCGAGAGAGACAAAACTGTTTTATGCCTTCATCTGCAGGATCGAAGTCTGAATATCTACTGCCCTCTGCTGGTGTTGTATAGTCCAACATTTAGAACAGCTGGAAGCTGCACTAAAATCAGTAAAACTTTTGGATGTTTTTGCTAAAGGCACTGGTAATTTGCAGGGGAAGCAGAGGATTCCCACGGGCTGTACATCTACATGCATCGCTGTATTGTATATTACAATATCAAAATATTCTTTTCACCTATGCACCAGACAAAGTGGCTTCAAATGTACCAGAATGGAATGGGGATGATGATGATGATAATGATAATTTTATTATTTTTTCCCCACCCATCTGGCTGGGCTTCCCCAGCCACTCTGGGTGGCTTAGTCAGACATACAGCTAGGATGCAATACTATACCATCTTAAAGGTAAAGGTAAAGGACAGTTAAGTCCAGTCACAGACAACTCTGGGGTTGCGGTGCTCATCTCGCTTTACAGGCCGAGGGAGCTGGCGTTTGTCCGCAGACAGTTTTTCCAGGTCATGTGGCCAGCACAACTAAGTCACTTCTGGCAAAACCAGTGTTTTTAACCATAGTGCAGAAAGTGCCCATGGACATCAATCTAAACACAGAAACATTTTTGCATATTATAGTGAGGATGCTACACTGTGGAGTCTCGTGTGAGTTACCACTGGCGACTTGACCATAGTTGCCTGTTACACTGGTGGGTACCAGCTGAGACAGAGCAATAAAAATAAAGGACCCCATCTGGGACATAGGAGTAACTAAGGAACAAAAAACTGGCATGTGACTCTTTTGATCCACAACTTAAAAGGATGAGTGGGGAGTTTCAAATGGTTATCCCCTTCCAGCCTCTTACTGTTTGGCTTTCTCCTGCTGGTTCCATAGTGTCTTCTTTCTACCTCCCTGCATCTGCACATCTCGCCACTTGCCAGCCTTCTCCTCTCCCACCCCGCACAGGTTGACAAAGTGCATCTTAATTCCACATATTCCTCCCACAAGCCATCTCTCTCCACCCTTCTGATCTCTGTCACCAGTTCACCAAACAGTTTTCCAGCGTTGGAAAGGCTAGCTGGAGTTGCCACAGTTGGAGCAGCAGGATATCAGGTGCCCATCGCCTAGAAAAGGTGATGACATAGGGGGACAGTGGACCAGCTGCCAGGCACCCTGGAGAGGTCACTGGAACAACAGGAGAACCCCATGGGTCCTGGAGTAGGGACAGCTGGCAACCATAGATACAAACACTATACAAATTGCATGATGGTATGCAATAGACAGGGGGACACGGGTGGCGCTGTGGGTTAAACCACAGAGCCTAGGGCTTGCCGATCAGAAGGTCAGCAGTTCAAATCCCCGTGACAGAGTGAGCTCCCGTTGCTCAGTCCCAGCTCCTGCCAACCTAGCAGTTCGAAAGCACGTCAAAGTGCAAGTAGATAAATAGGTACCGCTCCAGCGGGAAGGTAAACAGCGTTTCCATGCGCTGCTCTGGTTCGCCATGGCTTAAGTCATGCTGGCCACATGACCCGGAAGCTGTATGCCGGCTCCCTCGGCCAATAAAGCGAGATGAGCGCCGCAACCCCAGAGTTGTCCATGACTGGACCTAATGGTCAGGGGTCCCTTTACCTTTACTTTATGCAATAGACAAATCAAGATTTCCTTCCATCTTTTCCACCAGTTTGGTTGGGTTTAAAAGGGGATTAGACAAATTCATGGAGGATAAGCTATCAATGGTTAACTAGGAATGATTGCTATGAATTGCCTCCAGTATCAGGATGTCTCTGCATACCAGTCGCTGAGCATCATGAACATAAGTGTGCTGTTGTGCTCATGTCCTGCTTCTGAACTTCTCAAGGCATCTTGTGAGAACACAATGCTGGTCTAGATGGGCATTTAGTCTGATTCAGAGGGACTTATCTTACGTTCTTGTATTAACAAAAGGAACATAGCTGCTTTTGCTCTTCCAGAAAAGCTTGTACATTTATACTCCTTTGCACAGTATCAGCCGAATTCTAATTAAAAGCTGATCAGCATACAGTACATAGTTTACAAAGACACACATAAAGTAAATGCTTTCTCATGAACTGACTGAATTTTTCAAGTTTGTAATTATCACTTTGTATCGCTTAGACATCTTTAGGAAATGTTTTCTTTTTTCAGCTCAAATCTGTCTCCAGATGTGCTATTACACTTTCAAAACGAATCTAGTTATTTATAAAATATAATTGGATAAGTTCCAAGAGCAATATCTGTAACTCATACACATCATTCAACAGTATTCCTTTTCGCTTATTTTGGTAACCATCCATACATATGAAAAATAATAATTCCTAGGTAATGCTAGCAATTTTTTAAAAAAACCCACACAAAACCATTTATATGTCTTCAGTTTAGAGGAAAATACAGTGGGGGTAAATCAGTGCAATTTGTCAATTTTGACATTAATTATATATTTTCTCCTCAGCAATCATGGATAAATATGATCAACTTAATGATGAATAAATATATACAAGGCAGAGAGAACCAACGCATTGTTTCTCAGATACCAGTGAAAGGTTGATTTCCATGGCTTCAAGCATATTTATTTCCCTGTATTATTGTGACCTTCATATTTTTCCTCCCCATGAAGCTGCAAAACCACACTGATCCACTTACAAAGCCCTAGCAAGCATGGCCCAACCACTTCACTTTCATGTTTGGGGGAGTCACAAGAATATGTGCACAGCACTGTCTTCCATAATGAAAGAAATAAGAAAGGTTTTGCACATCAGAACTCTTCTCCCAGGTCTTCATGCAAACGCAGGAATTGGGAATTATCTGTTTTGGATAGGAAATGACCTATATGAATGCATATAGTCCCTGTCTGCTTTAACATGCCACTGTGCTCCATGGGTGCCCAGCACTGTCAATTACAACATAATAATAAACACTAATTTTATTATTTGTACCTCACCCATCTGACTGGGTTGCCCCAGCAACTCAACAACCATTGCTTGGAATACTTTAGGACTGATTTGTGGCCTTATGTGCCTGTGACATCACTTTTACCAAATAGTAGTAGTAGTAGTAGTAGTAGTAATAATAATAATAATAATAATAATAATAAATTATTTATACCCCACCCATCTGGCTGAGTTTCCCCATAAAGAAAAGTTTCACCAAATCAATATGGCATAGTTTTATTTATTTATAAAAACACTTGCCCCGCCAAATCCACTGGCATTTTTTTTTAAAAAAAGCATCTTTTAAAATAGCTGTAGTTGGATTTACAAGGGAAGTAGAGAAGCTGACTTTCTATTTTAGGAAAAAAATAAATTCAAACAGTTGTAATATTTAGGCAGAAAAATGATTCCAGAGTCCAGACAAATATTATTGGTGTTTGCGTCAGTTAACATTGAAAGTGTGGTGGGCAGATACTGATCAGGTAACTGTCTGGCCAACACATCCATGTGTCTTTGGAGACATGTATCTCTCTTTAATGCTTTACTTATTTACTGCAGCAACCACCAGGCGTACACCAGGGTACCCACAGAGCTGTAGCAAACTGTAGGAGTCCGAAGTGTTACAAGAAATGACATATCCTTTTGAAGATCCTGTTTCACATTCCTGTAGGAGAACTTGGGGAATATACGACAATAGGCATTTTCTTTCAAAGAAATTATATGTAAAACACTTTTTTTTTTTTTTGCAGGAAATCTAGGCAAAATATTTTCACATTATATAAGACCCTGACCACAACTGATATAATACAGTAGAGCTACACAAAAACCAAAGTTTAGTATATTTTATATACAAATGTAGTATCTAACTGGAGACATTTTTTTACCTGTCGGTTTATCTGTCTGCATTGAAGTTTGGTTTCCAGATTTGCACTTTATCTAGCTCACAACGATACAAAATTCTGGACCGGTACAACAAATAATATAATAGTATTTAAAATAGTACGCTCAGATATCCAATGTCAAATGGTCTTCAGGACACAGACCAGAAAACAGTGTAACATTGTCCACTCCAATTTCTCCAGTTTTACCTTTTCCACGTTCTGCCTCAAAAGCGATCTAATAAAATGAGTGGGGAAAACATTATTAACAGAAGAAGTGCAAATTATCAAGACGTACTAGATGCTCATAAATTAGAAAACTGAACTGTGCTACATTCACATTTTTATTATTATTACCACCATATCAAAAAATTCACCGAAATAATGAGACATCTTATGCTTCTCTATGGATTAAGAAGATTTTCAAAATAAGATCTAAAGATCTAAAATTCAGTTTTACAAACCCAACACAAATAAATATTCAAATTCTGCTCATGTCCAGTAGTATGCTGCAATGCAAATTTGTCTTCTGTTCTTATGCATGATCATTGATTCAACCTTAACTCTTTAACGGCATTGTCAAGGAATTTTTTGCTTGGTATGTTTTTGGTTTATATTTCTTTATACCGAAACCCCTTTTGTTGAGCTAAAAATTAGTGGAAGGTATTTGTCACTTTAACGCCTCTCCCTATTTTAAAAGCTAAAACTAAAAACCGAAACCACAACTGCCCCTCTTAACATTCCCATACCATTTCACAAAGCCCAATTCTGCCATTTTGTTATTCCATCTTTGCCCAGCATGCCATACTCTTTCTCCTTTGTCCAGATGTATTTAATAGGCCCAGTTGTTAGTGGAGATATGGGCAAGAGAAATAGGTAACAGGCCCAACAAATGTTTCCAGCCTCCTCACCTTCCAATGGCCTCTGATGCTAATACTCCAGTCCCAGCCTTGAGACCATCATGCTACAATCAGGTCCATAGAATAAGAACGTAGGAACCGCCTTTTGCTGGATCAGACCAACAGATCCATTTAGTCCAGCATTGTTCATCCCATAGCAGCAAACTTGGATGTCTCCAAGAAACCCACAAGGAAGGGCAACAGGACTCTTCCACTATTTCCCCCAAGCAACTAGTACCCAGTGGCATATTGTCTCTGGACCTTTCTGCGTCCTTTCATACTAGAACCCAGCTTCATCCAGTGAAGGTGAATGTTGGAATATTTTAGGGCAGGCTAAAGGAAGTACCGCTACACAAACTGCATAGTTAAAACAGTGGAATTCATTACACCACCAACATGGATGGGTCTTAGACAAATCATAGAGAACAATGCTATCAGTGACTACTTAGCCATGATGGCTGCGTACTACCCTCCAGCATCAGAGGCATAGCTGTCAACGTTTCCCTTTTATTAAGGGAAATTCCCTTATTCTGAATAGGAATAAGAAAAGGGAAAAGTTGACAGCTATGATCAGAGGTGGCCTGTCTCTGAATGCCAGTTGCTGGGGAGAATATGTGGGGAAGAGTGGTGTTTCGATCATGTGGTGTTTATGAGCTTCCCACAGGCACCTGGTTTGCCATTGTGAGAAAAGATGCTGAACTAACAACAACAACAATAACACAATATGCCACTGGTACTAACTGCTTGGGGTAAATAGCGGAAGTTTCATTATTTATACCCCGCCCAATCTGGTTGGGTTTCCCTTGCAAAATATAAAAACGTTATCAAATGTCAAACATAAAAAACTTCCCAATACAGGGCTGCCTTCAGATGTCTTCCAAAAGTGTAGTTCTTTATCTCCTTGACATCTGATGGGAGGACCTTCCACAGGGAGGGTGCCCACTGAAAAGGCTCTCTGCCTGGTTCCCTCTAACTTCACTTCTTGCAGTGAGGGAACCACCAGAAGACCCTCGGAAGTGGACCTCAGTGTCCAGGCTGAATGATGGGGGTGGAGATGCTCCTTCAGGTATACAGGGCTTTGGTCTGATCCAAGGCACTTCTTACGTTCTTAACCAGAGGTACCATATAGCCATAATTACAATTTGCCAGCAGCCAGAGCAAGCTGCAACTAGTTACACTGGTCATTGCAGGTGGTTTTTAATCTTTAACTTACATTCATCGTTGTTTCAGCCCCTGTGTGGACTTCCATTTGTCCAGTCCTCCACTGCTCATCATCTCCCACACTCTGTGACCAGGAAGGACTGCTGCTGCCACCGCTGCTGCCTAGGATCACATGTAGTTTCCCTACTCTTTCTCCTGCAAGTCGGTAACTAAAAATCAGACAATATATGCTTTTTGGCTCAAGATCAGTGAGAAGAAGTTTCAAACGACCAACATCCTTCTTGTGACCCACGAACCCCGGCACCATCATGTAATATCCATCACCTAGAGAGAGATATTTGGGGTTTAGAAAGTGAGAAACGGAATGTTACTTTTGTTTCATCTTAAATATTTTGGCTATTTACCACAGGGGAAGGACGATAGTTCAGTGATATTGCTTATGCTTTGCATGCAGAAGGTCTCGGGTCCAAATCCTGACATCTCCAGATAAAAATGATCAGGCAACAGATGAAACCAAAGACATACATTGGTCTGGATCACAAGTGACTTTCTGGGTCTAGAAATTCATGATTTTGTTGCAATGATAGCAAATACGTTCATGCACTCTATCCTTCCCTCTCCCCATCTGTAATACAAACCCTCTGGGGTTTGTTATAAACCAATTTCTCATTACATCTGGAAAGAAGAAGAAGAAGAGTTTGGATTTGATATCCTGCTTTATCACTACCCGAAGGAGTCTCAAAGCAGCTAACATTCTCCTTTCCCTTCCTCCCCCGACAACAAACACACTGTGAGGTGAGTGGGGCTGAGAGACTTCAAAGAAGTGTGACTGGCCCAAGGTCACCCAGCAGCTGCATATGGAGGAACGGAGACGCGAAGCCAGTTCCCCAGATTACGAATCTACCGCTATTAACCACTACACACCACACTGGCTCTCTGTTAAACTGTTGTTTAATGTCCATCCATAAGATATCTAACCAGGATCAAACCATGGTTTATAGCCAGAGATTAAGCCACAGTTTCCTGGTTTGGTCAAAAACAAACCCCTGGGGAAAACGCTGCATTTGAGCACGCGAGGAAAACTCTTGATCTTGGTCCAATACGCCATGGTCTATTTTCTAAACTGACAAATGATCTGATATATAAGCACATTTCCTGGGTTTTCTCTAGCGATCAAACTCCACCTCTTAACTAGGAGGGAACACACTAAGGAAGCCAAGTGAAGGCAAGGGATGGGGGAGGCATTGCATATCTAGGAGTATTACCATTATCATGATCTGCAGGATTCCAGTCAAAGTCATCATTTATATCTTGCTGCCAGGCACAAGACCCTTGCCCAAAGCTGCAGTCCACTTAGGTGAGGTCCAGAAATAGAGATGAGGTATTCAGAGAAAGGAAATACAAGGTGTTGTATTACACATAGTGGATGAAGCATTTTTAAAATGCTGTAAAGCAAGGCAAAACTCTCTTCCCTTTCAGTCCTTCTCCCCTAAGATAAGCTATATATATTTATTCACTCAGCTGCATTGGAGCTGTTCATGGACAAACTATTCCCACTTAGCCAGGATAATATATTGCACTGAATATATTGCTTTCAGACATAGAACTGTCTGACTTGTTCACACGTTGCTAGCAGTGTGTATTTCAATATTTGCAAATAATACAGACATGATGCAGTTGTCTATGCTCATCGCTGCTATTCTGAACTGCAAACTAGGATCAGCAAAGAGTGCTAGTTGTACCAATCTCTTGTTGTATCTTTTTGCCCTATTTCCAGGAGAAGTGGAATCCAGTGGAAGGTGATGCTGCCTAGATAAGCTCTGGATAAGAATCTTGGTGTACCAGTGTACCTCATCTCATATTTCAGTAATATTTCTTGATAAACTGCAGTCAGGCTGAAACCAGCACAGTCAAAATCAATTAAGTTAAATGGGATATGGTACACATGAAAAATTGGAACCACACACACAAGTAGAAGGATGTCCAGATAGAAGCACAGGAAGATTTATAGGACGTAACAAGTACTATGAGTTTGACTGATGGAGGGACAGGCTTGAAAAAATATGAATTTTATAAACAGACCCATAGAAGATCTTACAAGTACTTAACTAATCTAAGGCTGCAATTCTGAACCACTTACCCGAGAGTGAGCCCAACTGAATTCAATAGGACTTACCTCTGAGTAGACATAGTTAGGATTGCAGTGTTGGATTCTGTCTGTCAAAAAAGGCTGTTTATTGTCATTTTTAATGTCCTAAAGTTCACCCAGTGAAGGATCCCATGAAAAGACACCACCACTAGAGGAAAACAAAAGTAATCCTTTTAAAATCTGCCTACCTTCCAGCTCTGCTCTTTGTACTGGAAGTTTCCTTTGTGCTGGGAGAGGCCCAAACGCAGCAGCTTCTTTAGCTGAATGATTGAAACATATATTGTTAGTTCCAAAAAACAACCAGTTAATCCAAATATGAATTAACTGAAATATTTGTACATCACACACCACCAAGGTTTCACAATGTAACAAATTATATGGCACATATACTTACCAGTTGTGTTTACATGACAATTTTTTAAAAAATTGTGTGTCCAAAACTAACACATGGCTAAGTTATCTCCAGTGTCTAAAACTAACTCATGGCTAATTGATCTCCAGATAATATCCCTTATTAGATGAAATGCTACAGACCTGAAGGAGCTCAAATTCAAATGCAACACCAAAACATGTTCATTCTTTTATGCAATTATCAGGTTTTTGTGCTGCAATGTTTGAGCTACTGATTGGAACATGCATTTTGTGGGACAGGGCAAAATACTGTGTGTTGGCAAAGCAATATTTGTAAGGAGTTATAACTCAAAAGGTATTTCCAATGCAGGACCCAGGACAGCCTTACACTTACTCCTAAAAGCTCAGAGTAGCTTGTGATCCCCTAGGTAGTCTCATCCAGGAATTTTTTTGGGGCTATACCCAGTTAGCTTTAGCAGTAGAACTGCAGTATGTGCCTGAAGACCACATTCTGAGTTATCACCTCCACGTACATGGATGTGACAAACGGATGGAAGTTTGGTTCAGGCACGAAAACTAACCCAGGGCCTGGTTCGGCAACAAGCCATTCCCGTATAAACATGTGTTAAGGTTCATGGAGATTATTTGGTACATAAGGCTCTTCTTTAGCACTTTGCAAAACTGAAAACAGACAGGTCTCTTTGGGGGCCATATGTGAAACCTTTGACAGATGTTACTTGAAAAGACAAGTACACATGTAGAAAGACATAAGACCCTCAAGGCAGTTAAATATGCTCAACAGAACGTAGGAAAGATGATCCAGGAAATACTGTATAGAATATAATGTATTGCCAAAAGCTTCTCTTGTCTAATATCATTGCAAGATTCACGTTACTAAGACTATGGTTTAAATCACCTAGACTTCTGTTACTTGAATTAGAAGGAAGTATATCAAATGCGTAAGCCTCTAAAAAAGTTTATTTCATATAACTGTATGAGGTAAGGGAAAGAGCTATGACTAAACTGGAAAGTGACAACTATGAGATACTAAGTTCACTTCACATGGTGGGGGTGGTGGGGGTGGTGGAGAGATAACTGAAACACCACCAGTCAGAATTAATTATTCCTTCTGAATTACAGAATGTTTTTAAGTGAAGGAAAAATGGCTTGTTGACGATATTTTATACCTCAATTTGCTGGCATGCCCAACTGTAGTTTCTGAACAACTGTAGAAGAATATTGATTCTGGATATAGGTACAACGGCAAACCTGAATGTAGACTTGGTTCAGACATAATGCCAAACCATAGTTTTGCTTTTTTTTTCTTCCATGAGCAGGTTTGAGCCTGGGGGTTTGCATGCTTCTTTTTCTCCTCCTCCTCATTAACAGCAATTTTCTTATTTCTGGATTCTCAGCAAAGCATAGCTTGCTTTTTCATCTGAATTGGACAAACTATGGTTTGGTCAAAACTTAAGACTGCCTGCATGCCACGATCACCAACCACAGTTTGTGGTTCTAGAGTACAGACAAACTATGGCTTGAGGAAGGCATAGCTTGTTGGGTTCAAATGTAATGCAAACCATGCCTCGAATCTAAAAATAAATTAAGAAACTGCAGCACTCAAGGTGAATATGGGGAAGATATTATACCAAAGTTTGTTGTATGCATAACACAAAACCACAGTTTGGTGTTCCATCTAAAGCATAACAGTTAGGTTGCTTAAATCCTATTGATGTCGCTGGGATTCAAGACTTGTTTATGCAGCATTTCAGCCAAAATGTTCCTTAGAAACTATGGATATAATCCAGAGAACTGCACAACTTGGCATGTTTGGATTAATTATTCTCAAATAGCAAACATTCCCTCCTCCTCTCTGCAACAAGCTGTTTTTGATGCTCAGTTTGAAACTCAAAGATATGACATGGGGGGGGCACTATTGAAGGCAAAAGAAAATGTATATCCGTGAGCATATCTGAGCCCTTGCTTGTACCAAAAGTTGCTGCCTTAAGCCTGGGGGCCTGTGAGTATCAAGGCCTAGTGACAGTGCTAATGAAGGATTTGCATGTAGGACATATCTGAAGGTGAAGCCAGAAATTACTTCTGAAACAGTAAAGTTCAGATCAACAGTGTCAGTGACCCCAGTAGTTGTTATTAATCACCACGGATGGTGATTTGTGTTCCATTCAAGTGCTTCCTGCTGCCTGATTTCTGTACGTTCTTGGCATCAACTAAAGAGGAGGTCATTTTGGCCAAACATCTGAGGAACCACAAGATTGGGATGACAAACACAGCACAGAATAAATCTTTAGGGCACCATCTGGAAGAGCTTTGGTCAAATTACTTTGTAACACTCTCTGGCACTTCAGCAGGTAAATAAATATAAATTAGACACTTCAATGGAATATGATATAAGAACGATAAAGCAGTATTTTAGCATACAATAACCAGAGCAGTGAGTCATTACAGACCGCCCCCCCGCCGCCGCCCAGATCTCACCCACACCATTAAAAATGCATTTGATCAAACCTCATGCATCCACTACAACTGTACAAAGCTGGTTTTTGGTGCAAGTTTTACGTATGGAAATACCATAATTTAGTGATAATGGGAGCCTACTATGCTCTGTATTAGTTGTTGTTTTTTTAAGAGAGAGACATAGGACTGAACACTGCCAATTTATGGTAAGAAAGCTGTCCCAGACGACAGATTGGAGTTGCAATAAATGTACGAATTCTGCAAGGAGCATTCATTCGTTCAAAAGGTTAATTTGAGTCATGTAAGGAAGAAATCTTAGAATGTGTCTTCACTTGTCATAGCAGAGCTCCATTTTCTTTGCTGGGCCTAAATTTAAAATACAGTGGTACCCCGGGTTAAGTACTTAATTCATTCTGGATGTCCGTTCTTAACCCAAAACTGTTCTTAACCTGAAGCACCACTTTAGCTAATGGGGCCTCCTGCTGCTGCCGCGCTGCCAGAGCACAATTTCTGTTCTCATCCTGAAGCAAAGTTCTTAACCCAAGGTAATATTTCTGGGTTAGCGGAGTCTGTAACCTGAAGCGTATGTAACCTGAAGTGTATGTAACCTGAAGTGTATGTAACCCGAGGTACCACTGTACTGGGTGGGAGGAAACCTTTTCTTTCTTTCTTTCTTTCTTTCTTTCTTTCTTTCTTTCTTTCTTTTTGGCTGGGATAATTGGCTCTGAGATCATTTTAGGCAGCTTCCTTGTGGCAACCATAACATGTGTTTCAGTTCTTAGCTTTGAGTTGTGCGGTGCCAACTCAAGTACCTGCCACATGTTTCTGGCAGCTGCTAGGAGCGTTATGGACACACAATACCTGTTTTCAGGCATAACACTAAACTATGGTTTAGCATTATGAGAATAAGCCTTGGCTTTGCCTCCCATTCCCTCCCCTGGTGTGTTTTTTCATCCCTAAACAATCCAGATTCTCAAACCAGGGTTGAAGCAGCTTTCTACAAACTATAGTTAAAATGAACCACAAGGTGTGGTTAATCTAAAACAAAAGTAAAAACTTCCAAAATTCTCCTCACAGCTTCACCAAAATTCAGCTCCTTCTTATGTCACAAAACCATGAGGAGACGAGCCTGGTTCAGATGTGACTCTAAACTATGGCTTAACATTAGGTGCTCAAGCTTTGGATTCACAAGTATTCTTCACCTTTATCTTTTGGTGCAGTCATGACTCATCTAATCTAATCAGAGTTTGGGGGACTCTGGCTGATTTTTACTGAGCAGGCCAGGATCATATGCTAATTTAGACAAGCCTTCTTCAACCTGATGTCTTCCAGATTTTTTGGATTACAGCTCCCATCAGCTTCAGCCAGAATAGCCAGGCCAGTGGGAGCTGTACAGTACTCTAAAATATCTAGGGCAGTGTTTTCCAAACTTGGGTCTTCAGCTGTTTTTGGACTACAGTTCCCATCATCCCTGACCACTACCCTGTTAGTTCGGGATGATGGGAGTTGTAGTCCAAAAATAGCTGGAGACCCAAGTTTAAGAAACACTGATCTAGAGGGTATCAGGTTGTGGAAAGCTAGTTTAAACCAAGCAGGTTTCCCACATTTGAATACAAGGGACTGTCGGTTACTTTAAAAGTGGGAGAGAAAGCTTCTGATCTTCTCTTCATGGCCATATCAGAGGAGGATAAAGATGAGGAGCAGAAGCATATGAACCTGACGCTTTTGCATGTAACGCAAACCATAGAATTATCCAAAAGGGCCACTCTATGATATGCTGTTGGAGGAGAACCGAGCCAAAAATAAATGTTCTTGATCCCTCTTCCTTGCTTGGTATATGTCAGCAAAGAAACATATTGCAATCACTGAGAAATCATTAAATATCTTACCGCCTCCCTAGTTTTGATAAATGAGGATCATAAGTCCCCCTGAGTTTATCCTGGTCCAATCAACATGCAAAGTCAATCAACAAATATTTGAAAACAGCGAAGGCATGTATTGTAAACTGTTTCCTTATTTGTTTAAGCTAACTATGCTCTAAAGCACCAACACTAAAAGGATTTTAAAGGCCGCGATTCAAACAATCTCATTTATCCAGATTGTGTTTTGTTATAGTGATGTGGGCATTTGGATGTTTTCAAGCAAAAGAAATATAATTAGTATAGACAGAAAGAAAAACAGTTTGTGCATCACAAAAACGAAACAGCTGATTCTATGCCAAACAAGGTTCACTTAAAAAACAACAACCACACACATATGAATAAAATGGCAACTTGAAATCCTGAGGATTTAAGTGAAATAAGGGTGGGCTTGCATGACAGATTGTCATGGCCACTGATTTAGTGCTTTCCAACTAAACTAGAAGCAAAGGAAGTGTTTTGAGAAAAGATACACACATCTTTCTTTCAAGGACAGCCCCAAGTTTACACGTGGAAGCCAACCATGCAGTTTGCATAGCCAATTCAGGTCCTGCAAACCTGGTTTCTCTTCCTGATCTACTGCATGCACGAGTGGGGGTAGCAGGACAGACTGGGATCCATATGTTTGCACTGAGGGCTTAGATGCACACTGCATGCATGCCTCATTCCATCTGCAGAGGCTGTATAGCAGGGGTGGGCAATGTCTGGTCTACAGTACTGAGGGAGAAGAAGTGAGAGGCAGTTTGGAATGCTAGGTGCTGGTGTCTTGTAGGAGTGCCAGTGGAAGACTCTAGGATAGGACAGGAAAAACATACCTGCATTTAATAGGCCCGTAAAGGTTGAAACAGGGGCTTTAACAAAAGTCTTCAGTTATAGTGGGCAAGGGCAATCAGGCAAGATAGTTTTGATAAGGCTCCTCAAAGCTATCTTGGTTTAGTAGTGTAAAATAAGCCAGATTTAAGTAACAAAACATATACCAATTTAAAGAAACAGCACTATACCACAGTAACCACACACAGTGGCGTAGCGTGGGGGGTGCAGGGGGGCCGGACGCACCGGGCGCAACATCTGTGGTTAGGGCAAATCCACAGGTTAGGGGGCGCAAATCCACGGGTTAGGGGGCGCAAATCCACGGGTTAGGGGGCGCAAATTACTTGCCTTGCCCCGGGTGCTGACAACCCACGCTACGCCACCGACCACACAAATGTGTGCACTATATAATCTTGTAATAAATAAGCATGAATGTATTTGTCAACTATAGCAGCTATGGCTGAAATTCAACATACCACTAAGTGGGGTATGTGTGGGGGAATGAGATCTGCTCACAACAATGGGACTTTTCCCTTCTTTCCTCCCCTGCAAGCCCCATACCCTGTTCTAGGTTTTCCCCCACCTCAATCCTCCAGAGAAGATTTATAGGGCACAGAGAGGCATATGAGGGCGGAGAGGTGGAGAGTCTCATTGTGTGAGTGGAATTCTGTGTCAGCACACAACAACTCAGTTGAATCCCACCCTATATCGGAATGGCTTTGTTTCACTCCTATATCCCACGGTTATCAGGATTCTTGGTAAGTTAAGGGGTTAAACGGTGTAAGTGCTATTAAATGGTAGCATTAAATGGTGGAGTAGAAATTGGGTTTTGTTGATAAAACAAGAGGGGGAAAAACCCATCCCACCACAGAAGGTAATAAATGCTTCTCAAAATTCAACATCATCTTAGACATTGGGGTGGGGTGGGGAATTAAAGGTGAAACTTACAAAATACATCTCCTCGAAGTTTCTTCTCATGACCAGTTTGGTTTTCAAGGTCTTCCCTTTCTCCTCCTTTCTCAACTTCCTCTTCCTCTTCTATTTTCCCTTCTCTTCTGACATCTTCAGTACTTTCCCCCTGTTCACCATAGGCACCTTCTGTGTGCACACCGTCTTCGTAGTCTAACGGTCTTATGTGAACTTTAGAAGCTGGGGTCACAGGCGGTTCTGGGATCACATTTTTTATGTCCCCATGCTTTTTCACACTGTTTTTGTGCACAAGCAGCTTCTTGAGCTTCTCTTTGGCAACTCCAGAGATTCTGGGAATGTCTTTCACATAGTTTTCATGAATAACTGAGCAGGGGATGGGGTAGAGAACCAAGAAAACACAAAACATGCTTGACTTAGCTTACACTTTAAGGGTTTTAGGTTTTTGCAGAATATTAGTGCTTCTCAACATGATGAAACACCAGTTGGCAATGTTGAAAATGTATTTGAAGTACAATAAATTCAAAGCAATGTATATTATCTGTAAAGATGTCTCTATGTAGAGCCAAGAGTACACAGAGTAGAAGACCTGGGCAGCAGTGAATGTTTTCTTTGTCAATCCTATTAAAAAGGTAAGTGACTATTTCTTAGTTTTGTGTCTGACCACTGGGCTGGAATAACTTGTCAGCAACAAGTCAAACACAATTCATCAGCATGTATTGTGGTCAGCCAGGTGTCAAGCACTATAGAGCTCAAATCAGTCACAAAGGAAAATAACAAATTCTGCGGAGTATTCCCAGCAGTTGCTCTTCCCTATCAGGAACCTGCCAATTGTCACGAGAAAGCAAGGACCACAGTCCATGGGGATCAATGGGAATAGCTATGGATAGCTGCTTCCAATTATGTCTCCCAGAGGACAAAGTAAGCTTTGGGAACAATCCTCAGCTACTACGGGTGTATGGATCAGTCTTATTTCTGGTCCATATCATTTCTGCATTTGTCCACTCATTAGGTCCATTCTGTCGTGTTTCCACTGTAACCCGTGCAGTTTAAAAATCTGCAGGAAAACTGGCATTAAAAAGAAATAAATCAAAACATGCATTTTTAAACACGTTTTATCTTGATGCACGTACTTCTAGATACATTTTTATGTTTTTTTGAGATAAGAACTGTCGCAGCATTCAGAAAACCTTGAAACCTGTTGGAAAGCAATGTTCCAATCTGCTCATTAGTTAAAGAGGTGCAAATCAGGCCAGTTCATATCAGAATTTACAAGCAGTGAATTCCTCAACCATCCTACTAGCTACCTTTGCCTGTAATAGCATCCAGAAGGCATTCCACCAGTACAGATTTGATTCATTAAGAGGTTAAGATGAGAATCAGCTCTGAGTCTATATGGCTCTGGAATCTCTGGATAACATTCGCACTGGCCTGAATCCCCAAGATCTTGCAATGAAGTTCTTTGTACTAGAATGACATCCAAGCTAGTGAGAAAAGCAATGCTTTGTGACTTAAACATCTATGTTGACAAAATAGGGAAAGACCATTAAATGAAGCTGAAAAGACAAATATATAGTTATTCCAGCGGCTGACAGATTTGACCTTATGCCATATTTTTAACTTTGTGTGTTTAGAGAAGAAGCCAGATAGTTTCTGCACAGCAAGACATGTCCTTTCTGCTCATGATTACTGTCTGTGGCCCATCTGTTCAGGGAAAAATATGATTTCACCATAATTGTAATTCATGGGAATAAAATAGAAAATGTGATATTTCACATAGGCTCATTTGGGTTTAAATAGTAACAGTTGGGAAAGATTGAGGGCACAAGGAGAAGGGGACGACAGAGGACTAGATGGTTGGACAGTGTTCTTGAAGCTACCAGCATGAGTTTGACCAAACTGCGGGAGGCAGTGGAAGACAGGAGTGCCTGGCATGCTCTGGTCCATGGGGTCACGAAGAGTCGGACACGACTAAATGACTAAACAACAAAAGTAGCAGTAGTATGTGGAGATAACCTGCTACAAACCTATATCATATTCCATATGTATTACTAAAGAGAGATAACATTGAGAATATTTGTCTAACATACTTGGTTAGATAATTTCTTCCCAATCAACCAGGACAGAAACAAAAGAAGGCTGTTCTGTTTCGTTAGCACATATTGTAACAGCATTCAGTCTTAACAAGTTAGAAACTGCAAAGTTAGAAACAGCATTGCAGTTTCAATCTTTCCTATGAACAATATTTCCTGGTTAGTTTTGCCCAGATGCCTCCATTTCAGAGTTTTATTAAAAGATGTACACTGTGAAATTTAACCGACATGGTTCACTGAAATCTTTATTCAGGGTACAGCAAAGAAAAATTGGCTGGAAGCCCCCAATTCCCTACAAATTTCCTCTCAGAAATAAGAAAGGCAAACCCCATGCGTTTTAATAAAGAGTCTGCTGAGGTTTTCAAGACAGAATGACTGCCCAGCAAACCAGAACATCTGCTTGCACTTCTTGCTTTGAAGTCTTTCTATAAGTAATGAAATATTCTTACTGCGCAGCAAAGTTGTTCTGGCTTTGGGAAATCAAGGGGGCATGACATGGTGCTCAGTTTGGGGGATTGGATGCACTCATCTAGGACATCCAATCCCTGCAGGTCCACTCATGTCAGATTCCTCAGCCAGATCCAGACAACACTGAAGATGCCACAGTTCATAGGCTGAACCAATGTTCAATATGTTCACGGTACTCACCCCACCCTTCAACAGCTTTTTCCACCTTGGGTTCTAGCAGGGTAAATCAGTTTGACACGGTAAAAATGTTTGTTCCTCAGGCAATCACGCAAGCCATGTCTAGACTGAACTATGGAAAGGTATGTCAAATGAGGTGGAAAGAGCTAATATTCACACTGTAATTGTAATCCCCCTTTAGGTGGGATTAAATTTCCACAGTGTGCATCGTTAAATCAGTGCTTAGTATACAGTATTCAATGAAACCAAAAGCACTACTTATGGCACTGAAGAAATTCTCCAAAAACATTTGTTTTGGGATAAATATGGGTCTCTACACTGCACCAGACTGGAGAAAGCACAGCAACATGGGATAAAACCACCCCATCACCTTCCGCCCTGGCCAATGTAAGTGGCAGAACTCACACCTTCTTCCCTAGTGAGGAAGGGGACATTTTGTAGTTCACCTCAGGTGGTGAAATGTCTTGGGCTGGCCTGTACTAGGAAAGTTAACAAGAACTGAAGACACATTTCCATGGTGAAAGTGCAAGGCTTGTTCTTATTTCACGGTAAATACAAAAGAAAGAAATGCACTTATGGGTCATGCCCCCCTGATTTCCTAAAGCCAGAACAACAAAACAGAGCAACAAATATAAAATAAGTTGAACCTATGCAACTACATGAAGATTATGGTCATGTTCACCTTCGCAGAGTATCAAGTATCCCTCTCTCCTGCCCCAACCTCAAATTCCCCTCTTTACCAGGATTTCTGGTTATTTGTTTATTAAATTTCTAGACCAACTGTCAGAAAAGAAAAGAACATAAAGAGAAATTTAATGATGCCCCTTGACCAGATTCCTGATAGCAGTCAACAGTTCACAGGATCTTATAGGAAACAAAAAGACATAGTACATTCTGAAAATGTCCCAACTTCCCATCGTTTGAGAAAGGTGTTAGAATCAATCAATCAATCAATCAATCAATTTCACTTACCAGAGCATTCATATCCATTGCCTCTGTAGCCTGGTTTACATTTGCACTTGAAGGATCCTTGAGTATTAAGGCACTCTGCATGGATGTTACACTTAGGTATAGTTGTAGTACATTCATTTATATCTAGAGGAATAGGGAGCGGGGGGGGGCAGCCAGGAGAAAACAAATAATTGAAGACAGAGAGAAGTCAGAGATTTAAAACAAATTAAACATTATTTTCATCCTGAGAAAAGCTGCACCTGTTTAATTCCTGGCTGTCATGCAAGCACAGGAACCGTATCAGAAGAAAATGTTGGCAAGCCTCTTTGTAAGTGCTATGGTTAAAGACTGCATTTGTCAACGAATATAAAGAAGGAGGGGATCTTAATAATAAATGAGTATTAATTCAAAAATTCAATTTGAACGAACTGCCCATTTATTGTCTTTCTCTGGTTTACATCACTCTGGGGACTGGCACTAGACCATTAACAGGGATAAGCATTTGGTCAAAAACTAGTAGGCAGGGGGCAGATAATTCCTAAACAACCTTTTTTTAAAAAAAAATTACAAATTTTATTGATTTTTTTTAAAACAAAAATAATTACAAAGCATAAAGTGTTGTCTGCCAGGACAAATGCATGTACAGATGTTAAGTCTTGCATGCAGTCATCCACATGGCATCAAAACAGACTTGGAAACTATTTTTCATTAGAAATTAAGCTCACATCCACGGGGCAAACAAACGTTTAGATTCCCTAGACTTGATAGTTTATTGATGTTATTCTCTGATGAAGCTACAATACAAAGGAATGCTCCATCATTCTTTCCGGTGGCGAGTACCACCAAGCTTGTAGCTAAAACAGGGCCAAGGAGAAATAAGGAAGAGATATCATGTTGGAGGAATTCCCAAGGCTTGCAGACGTACAACAATTTTTAAAAAACCAAACCTAAGAAGCCAACACAGCCAAAAGTGCCATGAGAATGCACTTTACTGAGTAGCCTCTCAATGTGGAGTGACAGCTGAAAACATAAAACTGGAATATTGGGTGCAGGAATCGGGGAATGGAATGTTCTGCTTGGCAGGAAAGTGTGGTGGGGACTCTGAAGGAAAGTGCTCATTTCAGGAGAGAGGATACACTGTAATATTGTGTTACAGATTCCACGTATCAGTCTAGAAAGAGAATACATAAAGAGAGGTGTTTATTTTAATTTATTTGCCACTAGGTAGTAGAGACTCAATAAAGTTCCAAAAGTGGTCCAAAAGTGGTTTCCAGGGCATTAGTTTATACAAGCACAAGCAAAATTTATACTACAGGTCGAAAATACACCAAAATCAGCCAGGTTTATGAGAAAAGGAAAATCTGTGCATATATGTGCATGTGTACACACACACACAAGAGGAAAAATAGAATCTAATTCTTACCTACACAGTCATATCGGCCACTCACATATTTCAGCTCGTATCCAATTTGACACTTGCAATAGTAACTTCCAAATGTGTTGACACATCTGCGGTTGAAAGAGCAAACAGCTTTCCCACTGGAGCACTCATTAATATCTAAGATATTAAAATGAAATCTGATAAGGTCAAGGAAAAGGTATCAGGATAAAGGTGGTTAAACAAACCCTTAACGGTCACATCTGTGAATAAAATGACTAATGCTGAAATGATATGTCCCATACTAGAGAGGTGCAAAATCCATCTCTGGAATCCAGCTTGATTTTTGCTTATCCCAATTAAAGCCTACCAATTTCTGATGAAATCCGCCTAGTCCTTCTGCATAGTTGCCATCCATAATATGTCCCCTGATGCTCCACCTGTATGCATGCCACTCGAAGCCATACATAGCTAGACACCAGTGTAAGCATGAGGATTGCAACAAATCCTCACCTGTCCCCAAGACCCAATTTTTGTTCCAAATTCTGTCTTAGATGGAAGTCAGCAACAACCCTAAATTATTCCCTAAGATCTCTGAACCTCTTTCTTAGGCTGTGTAAATAATGTTAAGTATTACCAGGCCAGCTGGTTAGGATTGATTTCTGGAAAGTCAATTACTAGTTAAGTCTCAGAGCTGACACAAGATCACATACCAAGAAAAACACATGTCCACTGTTCTAATACCCAGGCTATGATGTGAAGGCACGCAATAGCATAGCAACTTTGTTGAAGCTAAGCAAGTTTGGCCCATACCTGGGAACCCCACTGTATGCCTCCTTCAGTTCCATCAAAGAAGAAAGGTGGGATATACATATAATAAATCAATATCCAACAGGTGCATGCCTATTTTATTAAAATTACAGGAGCTGAACTCTCAGCAAAATTCATTGATCTCACTGATTTATGCAGCAAATGTTCAAAGCTTTCTAGTCCCTAGTAAATTTAGGTTATTTTACCCTTCTATTTTACTCTCATCCCTCTTCCTTTCCAGGCTTGAAAGAACTACCCTCTTCTCCTCGTCTCAAGACAGAAACAGCTTGTATCAGTGCTTGAATGGGCACAAAAACAGTACAAAGCAATTTACACTCTTTTCACATGGACGCCTGGCTAGAATTCCCGCCTTCTATAAATACATGCATTATGGATAAACTATTGCAATATACAACAGAGAGTTACAAAACTCAGATGTCTATAATTATTTTTAAAGTGCAGTCCTTAATTTGGAATCATCAACTCCCAACCAGATAGGATTATTTTTCTTGCTCCAAGTATAGTGAAGTATTTTATAAATAAAGAAAATGCAAACAACTAACATGAGTGCATGAGGAATTTGGCTGTTAGATTTCAACTGTGTTTCCTGATTTTATGCTGTGGACAAAAGCCTCACATAAACATTAATTAAACAATGGGAGGATGGCAGGGGCGTAATAATCCCATTTAATCCCATAAATTTGGGAGAAGAGGAGCAGTGTTTCCTTCTGTGGCATGTTTCTTGTTCAACAGCTGAGCCAAGAATCCGTAAGGGTTCATTCTATAGTTCCTAAAAATACTCTCATGTCATGAAATCCATTAACAGCTTGCTGTTGTAGCTGTATGACTAAAGTGGCAGGCTTTTGCAGAGCTATGCTTCCAGTTTGATGTGTTTAATGAATAGGCTGCTTGAAAGGCTATGAGTGACTGTAATCACAGCTAAGAGTTCATTTCCTGTGCTTGTCAAGATTCACCTAGGTTCTAAAAGATCCCTAGAGCCCATTGGGATGAAGAAGTATCCCCTTTCCAAAAGAATAAAACCTCCAAACCATTACACCTGGGGCTTCTCACATAGCCACAGTTGGAGAGTAGATATATTAGATGTCTAAAAACATGAAGAAAAACTTGTTTTTAGGGACTTTCAAAAACCCACCAAACTCTGCAGGCAGTTCCAGACCACCTGTTTATTCATCACGATTTGTTTGTGTGAAAGTCAGATGGTGCTGCTTCAAAGCTCACCTGCAAGAGTGGGGACAGATAAGGACCTGCCCCACCAAGCCAAAAAGTTTACTCATTCTTGCTCTAAAAGTATAGTCATTCTAAGGTGTTCAGCAAGCACAGGCTGAACTCTTGGAACTGTTGTACTAATGATAGCAAAAGCATAAAAGGATGCTGATGTACCTATGCATGTTTTTCCATTTGACGCTAACTGAAGTCCGTTCGATGGACACAAGCATCGCACGTCATCTTTCACTTCTTCACAGCCGTATTGACAATTCACCATGGCGCAGCTCCTGGAATCTTGAAAAACATGTTACTTGACAAAGCCATAGGTAAAACTGCGTAAGAGGATTTGTTTCATTAACAGATGATAATGATCTTAAAATCTCTTCCCTAAGAGCAATGCATGCAAAAAAGAAGGAGGAACATAAGCACATACCTTAGATATTTGGCTACTGCTATTCCCACTGCCAAATAGACACAAGCCTCTGATTTAAAAACTGGTTTGTCTCTTTGGCAGTGGGAACCGCTGTGGCAAAACCATACCGCCTGTTTTAAAAACAGCTAAATGGGTTGCTGTTCTATTTCACAGGGCATGGTTCAACGTAATACTAGCTATCTGTGGAGCTCTAAATTGGTTGGGACCTGCATGCCTGAAGGACCATGTCTACCACATGAGACTGCATGAACCTTAAGTTCTTCATCGTATGTCCCAGGTTAGGCACCTGAGCTTAGGGAGCTGGTGACTGGTGAGAGGGCCTTTTCAGTTGTGGCACCTGCAATATAAAAAGGCCTTTCCTTGGTAAGTTTGCCTAATGCTGATCTTGTTTAAATTTTACCCAAGCGTTCCAGCATCGTTGCTGTTTTCTTGAAAAACAACCTATGGTTTGATCTATATAACAGCTGCTTCAATTATTTCTGCATTCTAACTTAACGTTTTATATGTATATTGGTTTAAATGTTTTAATATGTATCCTACCCTGGGAGTTTTGACAGGCACTATGGAAATGCACTAGATAAACAAATAAATAAGCCAGCAAATAACAGCGCAATCCTAATAAGGCTGGAGACCAGCAGATCTACCACTGCATTCAAAGGCCTCCTGGCTTGCACCAGCCAGGACAGAAGATGGGGAGCAGGTGGGGCAGAAGGTGGGTTGTTGCTGTTGTTGTTAGATATGCCAGCTGTATGTGAGGGGTTGAGTGACTGTAGCCCTTGGGGTACCCCCAGGTCTTGGATCCAGCTGAACCAAAGCCTCCAGCACCTTGCCTGGAAGAGTCCCATTTTGGGTCTTACTGATGGCTACTGCAAGGGGAAGAACCATCAGCAGCAGCATCGCACCACTTGATTAAAGATGGAAAAGCCACCCCCACACCCCCAAGAGTTCCTCTCCATTGGCAGAGACCTTCACACCATCCTAACACACTAGCCACCAATATGAGGGGTGAGTATGATTGCACTAAAAGGCTCCAGTTACATATGTGCATCTTCCCCTTTTATATTACAGCCATTAAATAGGTTTATCTGGATATCATCTGCAAGGCTTCCGTGACAACTTAGCTGCCTGCTTTTTCCCCTTCTACTCTAAACTGTTCTGTAGCTTGGAAACCACACCTGACAACTCATAAGGAAGAATTGCTTCTGGGTATTTATATTTTGCTTTTCAACCTGCCAGCTGCAAGAAAAAGAGTTAGCCCTTATAAAAGGGCAACAAAACCACTAAAAACTTTCTCCTTTTTACTGCTAATACTTCCAAACTAGTAAATTGTACATTTTCATTTATTTATCTCTTTGGGCAGTTTCAGCATTGCATTCAGAGAAAATAATCTGGTTAGAAACTTTTCCCTTACCCCTTTCTAAATTAACACCACCCTGCCGGGAAAGCTCCCTTTCTCAAGGGGATTTGTAAGTGTGAAATGAAAATCTCTGCAACAGAAACCTTTGAAAACGTGTCCATAAATCCAAGTCCTCTTTTAAATGCTCTACTCCGCTTTCAGATGTGGTTCCTTCTGATTTATCTACATGCAGTAAAAAAATGGGCAGAGCTAAAAAAAAGAAATGCCCCACTACTGGCTCCTAAGGGGTACAACAACAACAAAAAACACTAATTTGCTGAAGTTTAAAATGCTCCCCAAACTAAACGAGATCTATGTCTCTATATAGTTTTAAGTGTAAACCATGCTCAGCATATCCTTTAATGCTAATTGCACTGGAGCACTGAAAGATTCCTGTATTATTGCACACCACCCCCAACTCCTGGGGTTCCAGGCACTTACCCAGGGTTCGTGTTTCCTTCTGAATGAGGCACAGTGGAGACCATGATGTCTTTAAGATGTATGGTTTATTTACACATATATACAATCTGAACCTATGATTGAGGGGACCACAGCATGAACACCCCAAGAGGTTCTGCTTCTCCCATAGTCACAGCCTTGGATTCCAGCCAGGGCCGGATTTAGGTTTGATGAGGCCCTAAGCTACTGAAGGCAATGGGGCCCTTTATATGTCCAGCTGTCCTTTGTCAACAACAAATTGTCACTGTTTTTGTGTTGAATACATGGTAATTTGTGGACCTACACAAAACACTGTTGCTGTATGTAGGTTTTATTTTATTTCTTTTTTATTTTGGAAATACATCCAGGTTTTTTTCCTTTAATTTTTTGGGGGGCCCCCAAGAGAGTGGGGCCCTAAACTATAGCTTGTTTAGCTTATACATAAATCTGGCACCGATTCCAGCAGAAATCAAGCATGTCTTCCGCCTGCTTCTTTGCTTCTAGCTCAACACCACTCTACTTTCTGCTCTCCACTCTGCCTTTGTCCTTCTAACTATCCCTCAGTTGAGGGAGGGGATCCACCTGGTAGGGGACACACCCATTTGTCCTCTGGCCCCGAGCCACTTCCTTTGTTCCCTTAATGTCCCATTACGTCACCAGGAAGCTAGCCTGGCTTATACTGTACTTTAACAGTTGCTGGATCCAAGGATTAGAAGGGTCTCGGCATACGGCCTACTCCCCACCACCACCAACTCGTAACAGTATAAATTAACCAGCTGCTTCATACTATGAGGCACAGGTTATTTCATGATTAGTTACAATATGGACTTGACTCCCATCTCACATGCTGCATCTTGTGTAATATCAGTCACTTACTTGCGCAGGCTCCGTCGGGCATGAGCATGTACCCATTGAGACAATAGCACTTGTAGCTGCCATGCATGTTCATACATCTGTGCTCACAAGGACGTGGCTTCAATCCGCATTCGTTGATATCTGCAGAAATAATTGGGGGTGGGGGTGGGGGGAATGAGTTTGCAGATCTTTGGAAGAAAACAAAATAGCTTACTGCAGTTGCTATTTTACGGCTTAAATTCCCCTATGGAGAAAATGTCTCCAGGATTCGAGCAAGCCAGATTCTTGAAAGAAAGAATTCAGCAGACCATTTGCTGGGCTGTGTGCTAGGAGCACTAGCAGGAAGTTCCCACCACACCTGACAGAATCTGGGGAAGTGTCTCACACCAGGAGAGATTGTACTGGGAAGGGAGGAAAGAAAACAGCTGCTACACTGTTGTGTATATGCTGAATGGCCACGTAGTCTTGTCTCCACAGCTCAGAGGTTCTCAGTTAGGTATGGTAAATATCTGTACAGTGGTACCTCGGGTTACATACACTTCAGATTACATACGCTTCAGGTTACAGACTCTGCTAACCCAAAAATATTACCTCAGGTTAAGAACTTTACTTCAGGATGAGAACAGAAATCGCGCAGCAGCAGCGGGAGGCCCCATTAGCTACAGTGGCACTTCAGGTTAAGAACAGTTTCAGGTTAAGAACAGACCTCCGGAACGAATTAAGTACGTAACCAGAGGTACCACTGTAACTGAAAACAAGAAATGTAAATTTCTTTTACAAGCAAACAAGTTAGTTCGTTTACCTGGTTGTGGCTGGATGATTTATTAAGCCATTGTAAATCAATGATTTAAAGCCAAGCTTGAAGCATCAATTTTATATCATTGATCTAAATCAACTTTTCTGTTTTGAAGTTCATATACTTCCTGAATAGGCAGGCATACTGCCTTGCTACTAGAACAATGAAAATGCTTATTATCTGCTTTCCAGTGGCCTTTACTATTGATCTTAACCAGTCAGTTATATTTCCTCGTGGTTTTCTTTTATGTAGAAAAGCAGTCTTTAATTCAATCTGATGGACACATTGACAGGATTCAATTTTCAGAGATTACAAATGCGGGTATGCTTTTATTTGTTTTCCTTTCATGTTTTTTTTTAACAGAGAGAATTGTTTTAAAAATTCTTTTTAAATCTGTAATGACAAACTGGCATGAAGAAATGCCAGCTTGCCAGTTTTAAATACTTCGTTTTAACCATCTGGCAAATTTGGAGGTCTAGGTTTACTCCTAAGCAAATTTTCATAACCTGAAAATAAATCTTCGCAAAGCAGAAAAGTCCTAATGAGGGGCTGGGGTAGATGGCATTCATGGTGCCACCACTACATTTAAAACAATGCCAGCTCATGCCAGCCAGGGTGGAATGTAGCGCCAAAGGCAGTTTCCATTTTTTGTTGTGTGCCAGCTCCAGGTTGGTGTAGCTGCAGAGCCTGAGAATTGAACCCATGGGACTTTGGATAGAAAGCCACCTTTCATCCTGCCGCTCTTTGTTTCAGGGCTTTACGCACCAAACTCCTGGCAGGAGAACTCCCAGGCCAAGTGTGAAGTCTCTGTTACGACAGGCCCCAGCCACATTCATCACACCTCTCTGCTTGCAGAGACTAGTGGAGAGGAATCGACGTGCCTTCCTAACCCACATCCCCTAAGCCTTCATGAAGTTGAGGAGCTATTTTGACTGTTTTGACTTCCTACTTGGATGATGGAGGATATTTGCTAGTCCCTGTACTACCGCCCATCGCAGAATCCACCTTCAGGCTGAAAAAGTTTTCCCAAGACAGACAAAATAACTCAACGTTGTTTTACATGCAGCCTCTGCAAAACCACCACACAGCTCTGGCAATTGATGGCACTTATGTGTAGCCTCTGCATTAGAGTGGATAGACACTTTGGATAAGAGACTTTTGATTGTTATTTCCACTGTAGAAAGTTCTCAGATGGCAAAACACAGCCTCTATATATTGACTGGAAGATTTAAATAGCTCTTACCCTAGGGAAACTGGAGAGGAAAGAAAAGAGCGAAGACAATTTCGCTGTGCACACACCAGGGTGTTAATGCACATATGTGTAGCATGGATCCAATTTATCCATGCATACTTTGACACCCCCCCCCAGCATGTTCCATTTAAATCTGTCTCAATGTTTCCTGTCCATACTAGTGGGTGGTGTTTTATGGGATGTATCATGCTGAGTGACATTGTCCTCTCCCCTCAAGCTACTAATTCTGTGGCCTCCAGAAGTTGTGGAAACCTGAGCTCCACTGGGGGTTTGCGAATAACCTGTGAGTGCACACCTTTTGTTTTAAAGAACTGTTTTGTCTGTGGAATAACATAGTAATAAAGTTTCGCCAGAGCCAATGTTTCACAGTGGGCAAGACAGCAGCGTCATCTTTTTCCAAATTACACACTCATGCAAAATAGCAGTTTCAAAAATGAATATATATTTGTGTGTCCCACCCAGCACCACCAGGTAGAGAACCGGCAACCCACAAAGGAGTGTCTTGCCAGGGGAAGAATGGCTGGCAGGCAAAGACACAAAGTGCCTCCATTTTCCATAGCCTTGCTCCCTCCCAACACGGAAAGCTGTGGTGTGGCTCAGAAGAGAACATGAGCTGCACATTTCACACACAAATACAAAACGGACAAGGCAGGACAGGGAGAGCGATTTGGGAGAAAGGGATTTGCAGACAGTATTTTTGTTCCCCTTCTCCATCTGCTGTACCTGCACGAGCCAATTTTATTTTTAATACAGCTGTTTTGCAGAAGAGCAGTTCAACAGAAAACAGCTGTTTAAACTTTTTTCCTCCTTCCCACTGCCAAGGAACCTTCAGCAACAACCAATAGTAATAGGCATGTGGCACCCTTTCCTTTGTGCTGATGAAGACAAAATGGATAGATAGAGCTCAAGCGATGAGCAAGTGGAAACAAAGGGTTAGGGTTAAAGGGACCCCTGACCATTAAGTCCAGTCAGGACCGACTGGGGTTGCGACGCTCATCTCGCCTTATTGGCCGAGGGAGCCGGCGTACAGCTTCCGGGTCATGTGGCCAGCATGACTAAGCCGCTTCTGGCGAAACAGAGCAGCGCACGGAAACACCGTTTACCTTCCCGCCAGAGGGGTACCTATTTATCTACTTGCACTTTGACGTGCTTTCGAACTGCTAGGTTGGCAGGAGCAGGGACCAAGCAACGGGAGCTCACCCCGTCGCGGGTTAGGGTTAGCACCCAGCAAAACATCACCACGTATGTTGAAAAGTCACACCCATACAATTCACTTCTGTGTACCAACACTCAGGTAACCTGAGATTTTACATTAGAACCTCCACCCACTCCCATCCCCAGCTTATGCACGGATCAGAAACATCTGAATTAATTGACTGGAAATGTTAAGCTGTGGACAAAGATGAGGACAAAGCAAAAACATGCACCTATGGGATGCCCTGAATCCAGTTTAAACTGCCGTGTGCGCACAAATGCATTGCCTAGTGTAAAAATCCATTGCAGGTAATGGGAGGCACATATAGCAGACACTGAACTCGTTCATGTTCGCTCCACATTTCTAGGTATAGGTCCTGAATTGCCGTTTGCTCCAATTCAGCCAAGGTTAGTCACATGCTCATATTTCTCTCATCAAAATAAACGAAACTTAGAAGCCAAACTTTATGATATATTCAAGACCTATGATCAGACCTCTTGACATCCTTTCCTTTGATGAAAAGGAGATGAAGAAGATTGGAGCCATGGCACTGGGGGCATCTGGGCATTCCCCTCATGTTAACTTGTGCACAGAGCAGGGGACACACACAGATATACATATTACAGTGGTACCTCGGGTTAAGTACTTAATTCGTTCCGGAGGTCCGTTCTTAACCTGAAACTGTTCTTAACCTGAAGCACCACTTTAGCTAATGGGGCCTCCTGCTGCCACTGGAGCACGATTTCTGTTCTCATCCTGAAGGAAAGTTCTTAACTTGAGGTACTATTTCTGGGTTAGTGGAGTCTATAACCTGAAGCGTAAGTAACCCGAGGTACCACTGTATAAATTTCTCCCCCTACTTCACTTTGAATGCCAGCTTCAGTGAAGGGTGACTTTAATCATGGAAACAGTGCAAAAGGCAAGTATAAAAGGCAGGCACAGAGGATGACTATTTCCCCACAGCTGCTGTACTGATCCAAAAGTCACACTCCCTCCAGCAGCTGCTTTTAAGCACAGGGAAAAAAGACAAGGGGAGATTTGGCTCTTCTGCTTATGCTGTCACTTCTTTGCCTACTGCCCGATAGTAAAACATGTAAATTTCATCAGGAAAAAACTAGCATACACCCTTTATGGGACATTGCAGTCATGCAGCTCCTGTAAAGCCAGAGTTCTTCTGAGCAGGCCTTCCGTTCCAGTCCAGCTTTAATGACATCAGACTCTGCTCCCTTATTCATGCGGCCTTGCAAGCCAGAGCGCAGCTTCTCCTAGCCCACGGAGAATGCATAGCTCAATACAGTAGTGGGATGCCAGAAGTGGTGTTAGCTTGAGTTGATTCCAAGATTCCTTAGCCTATAAGTTGTATTTCTTACACTTAGAAAGAGGCACCAGATGTTCTTATAAGAACACAATGTGCCTTATTGTAGTTGCAGGAACCCGAATCACTGCGACTTCATACTCAAATTAAAGGAGTGTGTGTGTGTGTGTGTGTGTGTGTGTGTGTGTGTGTGTATTGGGATGGGAGGAGATCTTTGATCTAAATATAACAGAAATAACCATTTGACGTTTCAAAGGGTCTCCCCAAAATGCAGGGATGCACATCTCCTGAAGAATGTACATGCTGCTGCTGGAGAATAAAGGATGCAACAGCTGAAGCATTCCGCTTACAAGAAAAATGATAAATTGTACATACCTTGGCTGCAGGATTTGCCTGTGAATCCAGGAAAGCATTTACATTTGTTTGGCATCATACATTCACCATATTTGCACCCGTGTTCACAAGTAGCTGTAGAAGGAGGAGCAGAGAAATAGGAAGTGAAAACGCAGAAGAAAAATAGCCCAACTGGTATATTCTTCAGTATTATCATTATTTTGAAAACAGTGATAATAAGAAAAGGATTTAAGAAGACCAACAGCAGAGTTTGTCTAATTCCTTGGTCTGAAAAATGTCCACATGTATTTAGAATTTGGGTAAGCTTTTAAAAAACAACAACCAAGTACTTTGTACTTTAGCAAATCAAACCAACAGAAACCCACCCCAAGAACACTTGTAATTGTGTTATATATGATTTGTTCTTTGTAACATAACATTGTCTTTCCCCTACTTCTTTTCTTTCCTGTTTACTATGGAATTTAATAAATGTTCTCCAGAAAATGTTTATTTCAACGTAACGTTGCTGATTTGATTTTGTTTCCAATCATTGCCAGATTCGCTTCAGGTTACTGTAGATCCAAATTCTTTCTGGAGTGACTTAATTTCCCCTGGAAATTATAGTGAGAGCTCAGGAGGAATAAAGAGGCTCACATTTGGACCTGAACCCTTTTCCATATCATAATCTAATATACCACCCAAGCATCACAATGCCTGCTTGCCAAAAAGCCTACTTTCTGAGAGTTTACAGCTATCTCTCTGCACAACTGAAGTCTTTTTTATTTTTATTAGATTTTCTTCCTATAGGGTATGACTGGGTATGACTAACAGCAAAGTTAATGATGGCTTCCAATATCCCCCCCCCCAAAAAAAAAATCCATGCCAATCTGAAATTCAGCAGTGGTCTAGTGAAGTATTAGGCATTACATATACAATACACATTCAGATCAACTGGTGACCAGTATTTGTATGTCTTTTATTACTAAACTCATTCATTGCACATTGCCAAAAAAGTGGAATTTCATCACCAGAAAAGGGAGGGCACAGATATTTGCATATAACCAGCATGTGCTAATGTATATTTATGTCTGTAAATGTATACATAATTACTGTAATTTTAGTAGCAGCTACTCCAGCAGGCTGCTTCGATGGGAGAGGCAAGAAGCAGGGCTCATTCCATCAGCTCTGCTGAAAGACTCCATCAACGGCCTCCTGTCCCTGAACTGTGGACTGTTGCCATGCCAAGTACTACTGTTTTGACTTTAATGACTGGCACCTGAGGTTTTTTCCCTCCCCCTTCCCCTCCACACCCCTTTTCACTGGGTGTTGTATCTTTTAGACTGTTAAGCTTGTAGGCAGAGACTATCTTGTTTTAACTCAGGGAACTTTAGCTGTTTTTGGACTGCAACTTCCATCATCTCTAGCTAGCAGGACCAGTGGTCAGGAATGATAGGAACTGTAGTTCAAAAATAGCTGGAGTCCCCAAGTTTGGGAAACCCTGTTTAACTGATTGTAGGTGAGCTGCTCTGGTACACATGCTTTAAACAAATAATTTACTTGAAACAGAAATACATCTCACTGTAAGCACAGAAACTTGGGATCAGGTGACCTTTTCAGACCGCCACCCAGGTGATGTTATAATGGGTTAAATTAGACAGTCCTTCAAATAAAGGGTGTTTTCTAACTAAGGACTGTCCTTCTATGCAAATACTTCCATGTGGAATTCTGACTGGCAGCTTCACACTCCTCCTAAGCTGACTGCATGAGGGAGGGGCCACCTGGCTTTTGAGTGAATCCCAAAATACGAAGTAGAGGTGGGATGATGAACTGGCTCTGAACTTCTAGAAATTCATGCAGCTAATCCATCCACAAAAAGAGTAGGGACAGGCACTTTGAAGCACTTGCCTCAACTCTTTCAATGTCCAGCTCCTCACCCTGCAAAAAACTCCAGTCCTATGCTGCAGTTTCTCCCATAACATGCTCACATGCCCAGTGACACTTCTGCAGTCAAGGTTAAGTAAAATATGCATCATATTTCTATATTTCCTACCCATATATTTAAATCTATAAGGCTTTTTTTGTCACAGAGTTTAGGTTTCCATTCCACAGAATAAGCGTCTTCTACATGTGGAATTTAGTTTGTTTTTTAGCTGAATCGTAGAAGTCCTTGGCCACTGTTCAGAACTCTCCAAATTTAACATGACTGAATTTCAGAGTCTCCCAAAATGTTATTCTAAAATCTATTAGACATCAATATCTGGCAATTTAAACCATCATTTGTTCCAAATGGTTTAATGAAAAAGGTGTTTATTATAAAAATCCTGACCAAAAGTAGTCTAATGAAAGGAACAGTGTAAAAAGAAAAAACAATAGTCGTAGCTTGGTTCTCAAATGTAATCCATTTTGGAAGTCTGTTTGACTTCCGGAAACGTTCAAAAACCAAGGTGCGGCTTCTGATTGGCTGCAGGAGCTTCCTGCACTAAATCGGAAGTCACAGAAGCCACGTTGAATGTTCGGGTTCCAAAGAACGTTCGAAAACCGGAATACTTAGTTCTGGGTTTTCGGCGTTTGGGAGCCAAAACGTACAAGTACCAAGGTGTTCGAGAACCAAGGCATGACTATATAGCACAGAACATCTGCATCTTAATTTATATATTCACCATATATCATGCAGGACTCAAACCAGATATCTGCCAAGAGAAGAATGTAAAGCTTTTGAAAAATGGATACTAGTCAGAGATATTCTATTGTTTTTTGGTGGGACGCTCTCCTTGCTTTTTTAAAAAGAACCTCACATTATTATCCATTCTTAGCACACCATATACTCAAGCAGCTGAACTGGGGTTATACAAACAGTACAAAAATTATTAATAAAGGACTTCTCTATTCAACAGATGGCAATGCTTTCAACTAGAGCTATTATCTGCAACATGCATTAATAAAGGTTCAAGGAGAAAAAGCTCTTTTGGCAGCTATTTTGATTGGACAACAGTCTGGTGAGCATATCAATTATGATGTGAACTTTTGTTCATCTGCCCCGTATATTCAAAGCTAAGCTCATCAGGACAGCAGATGCAGCGTCTACGAAAGAGACGACTCCAAGAGTCAACATTTTATTAGTTCATTCAGCTTTGCCAGACTCCAGCTGGAGAAAGATTTCAACCTCTCCCTTGTGTTTTTACTATTTTTTTATTAAAATCTTAGAAGTCATTAAATAACCATAGGTTCTTCGTTGAAGTAATTCTCCAGAGGGCTGAAAACAACACAGATAATCCTCAGGTGCATTTGCATTAGGATGCTAGACAGTTAAAAATCTAGCAAATACTCCATTTAACATAAATACCTGAGGACAACATATGCCACTTAATCAAAAGCACCTGGCTATAAATACCTCTCCGTGGCTTGCTTAAAGGTTGCATTTTCCCTGTGGTATTTTAATTTCTAACACTACAGCTTTGGGGTAAAAACTGAGCATGGAAATCCCATAGTGATCTTCTTAAAATAATAATAATAAAGAAGGGTAATGGGTGGAGCTCATGGGCAGAACCCATAAAAAGTTATTCTAAGATATACAACTACTGCATATGTTCACAGGAATCCTAGCACCAAGCAATACTATACACATATCATACCAGGGCTCCACATATCCCAATGCAATCCAGACTATAACAGTACCAGAATTTGAAAAATAACCTATATGTCTCAAGAAAGTAAGCCAGACCAAAGACTACAGGTCAAAGCTCACATATTCACCACACAGCTGAGCATGATGGGGAAAACACAAGGAAATAAGCCTGAAGGAAACACAGCTTTTTTCTTTCATCAAGCACAGAGAAGATGCTGAGGTCCTTCTTCAGGAGCCTCCTCCATGTGAGGTCCGGTGGGCGGCAACATGAGAACAGGCCTTTTCTGTGGTGGCATCTCACTTGTGGAACGTTCTCTCCCGGCACCTTTGCTACATATCTTTAGGCGCTAAGCAAAAACATTCCTCTTCTCCCAGGCCTATGCTAATTAAACAATCTTTAGCCTATTAAACTGGGGGAAGGGTGTTTTAGTTGTTCCTATATTATCTATTTTGGTGTTTCAATAGTGTAAACCGGCCTGTGGCCATCGGATGAAAGGCAATACAGTGGTACCTCGGTTTCTGAACTTCGTTCTTAAACCAAATCCATCATTAAACCGAGGCGCGCTTTCCCTAATGAGGCCTCCAGCCGCCAGTGCCCTTCTACCGTTCAGCTTCCGTTCTTGGACAGAGCTAAAGTTCACAAACCGGAACACGTACTTCCAGTTTTGCGGAGTTCGTAATCTGAATACAGTCATACCTCAGGTTACAGCCACTTCAGGTTGCGTTTTTTTGGGTTACGGACCGCCGAAACCCGGAAGTACTGGAACGGGTTACTTCTTGGTTTCAGCAGTCACGCATGTGGAGAAGCGCCAAATCACGCTTTGCGCATGCGTTGAAGCGCCGAATCGCGACACGCACGTGCGCAGATGCGGGTTGCAAACATGCACCCCACACGGATCACATTCGCAACCCGAGGATCCACTGTAGTTCATAAACAGGACTGTTCATAAACCAAGGTACCACTGTATTGAAGAAGATAATAATAATACTGGGTCTGACATGAGATGAGCGTTTCTGGCTCCACCTTCCTGACTGTTTAAGCAGTATTCCTTGCCACCACCTTTTATTTTCCCCAAGTGGGGTGAGGCTGCCAGGAGGCACTGGTGAGTAGGCGTGTCTTCAAATGGTGGTGTCACTGCACTCACTTCCTTCCTTCCTTCCTTCCTCACCTATCCACCATCTTCAGTAGTACACAGGAGCCATTTTAAACTATGCCTGCATCACATGTGTGCAAAGCTAGTTCCACTAGGCCACATCTCCCTGGCATACATGTGCAAATCAAGATGAATGAGTGAGTGAGTGAGTGAGTGAGTGAGTGAGTGAATGAATGGAGTGTGGCTCTGGGTGTGAAGTGAAACAACTATATTAGCAACACTGAAGTGACCTCCCTGGAGTGCAAGCCTGGGCAGTGTGTATGCCCAGAGGACAAGACCCCACTTTCAGCCTTACTGTTGTTGTCCAAGTGAAAGCAGAGTATCTGTGGATGTGGGAAAAATCACCCAAGCCATTTTATTTGCTTGTCTTCTGGCTAGTTGGGCAACTCTATCCTAGGATAAAACTTTTTGTTTTATATTCTAGTCTATTTGTGGACTCTCCAAGTCACACCTTAGACTCCTCCAAGATATGTGGTTCATTTTGCGTAATAGCTGCAGCTCGTTTCTTCCATGAGCTACATTTGTTAACTTGTTATGGAATGAGCCCAGGAAATCAGGAATTTTGGCTACCCTGAAAAGTACAGCATCTGCCCAGGACTAATCGGAGGGGGGGGGTGGTGGAAACAAGATGAAGCATTATACCACAAGTTAAAAATAATAATGCACAAAATTGCATTTTTTCATATAGTAATTGTGATGCTATGTGTTATGGTAATTACTACAACAGTGCTAATATGATATGTATCAGTTAATATTAATGGACTGTTTTCTTCTCATCCATGTATATAAATGGATAGATTATGGTATGTGGCATCTGTTAAATGATTAATGGTTGGTCTGTGCTGTACAGCAAATCAGTTAAAATGATCAGAATACTTTTTTTCTTGCAACAGAACATTTTCACTTAACCCTATCTTGTCGTTTTAAACCCTCAAACAGCACTAAGCAGCTTTCATTTCTTTATTTTCGAAACCACTGGCAGGCCCGTCAAGAAGTCAAATCCATTCAAATTTAGGGATATATTTCTGGAGACAAGGGAATGAAAGGTTGTTGCTATTACCTTCACAGTGCCCTTTGCTATTCCTTTTCCAGCCATAGCAGCAGTCAAGCTTAGAGCCATAGCGGCAGACTCCAGGTTGATTCATGGTTAGGAGCTGCCTACGACCTCGTGAGCTGTGCATAAAATAGAACAGATGAATTAACAGATCCCCTACAGCACCAGGACCTGGAAAGATGTTCCATTTCTCCATTGCGTAGGCTGGCCACACTGGTGTTCTGTTGAAGTAACTGAAATTAAACACTCCTGAAGCACCTTAATCGCAAGTGTTATCTGCCTATGTGGTTCACTGCAGCAGAACTGACTTGCTCCCTCCAGCAAAAATGCAGGTTATCTTCTATTTGTTAAGCTTCTAAATCCTCTGCCCCTTTCAAGGATTTCAGAGGGACAGGCATGAGGTTCTAAGGTGGCCTTCCATCTATGTCCTGCATACATATCCAAATTTCCTTAACTCCAAAGATTAACATCAGCTGCGTTAAGATGTACATCTCTGCCCTTACCAGCCAATGTTGCTGATAGTTCTCAATTAAATAAACAGCAAATAACAGCACAAAATCTAATGATTTTCCTTCAGTTCTAATTTGCTGACTTTGAAAGCACACAAAGACTTTTGGTGCACAGATGTAAGTTTTCAGCATCACACATTGAGCGTCAGCCTATGAAACCTACTAAGAAACCTAGATTCTGTGGTTATAAAACAATGTGCACCTGTTTTTGCAGCCATTTCTGCCACCTTTGTAGTTAAATTCTGATATGAATCTATACATAGCAGCAAGAATAGTGTTTGCATAAAACATTTTACCAAATATCAAGAAAGGTGCTGTTAAAAAAGTTTGTACATAAATAAAATAAGAGGCAAATTGCAAGGTGTCTGTGATTCATTCTCCTGTGCCTTGGGTTTGTTTCTTTAAACCAAGAATAGGCAAACTCGGCCCTCCAGATGTTTTGGGACTACAACTCCCATGATCCCTAGCTAACAGGACCAGTGGTCAGGGATGATGGGAACTGTAGTCCCAAAACATCTGGAGGGCCGAGTTTGCTATGCCTGGTTTAAACCAAAGGCAACCTGAGCACCTGCAAATCCTAGTAGACTTAAACCCTTTCCCTTCTGATCACTTTCCAGGTCAAATATCCTCCAGCTGATTTTGGTTAAGGGGGGGGAATGCAGCGGAGAGAATCACAGAACTCCTTGTGATGTTTCCTTCGGCCTCTCCATAGAATAGTTATGGACATCCCATTATGAACTTCCTATGAACTTTCATATAGGTAAAACGAAACCATGGATTGTCTCTGGAGATAAACATGATTAATTCAGCCACAAACCTTATGTGTAGTAGAGCTTCCTAGGGAAAGAAATATGAGAGAAATAAATTGTTTTGTTTTATTAAAAAAAACTTTTTACATGGCTTGGTTAATAAGCCTGGATGGAGCTGATAGCAACAAGACAAATCCACTTAATCTTGCTGTCATTCATTCCTAAACAGAGGCTATCGGGAACATTATTTTGTGGATTGTGTTACTATATAACTTTGCTATTAGCAGTGGGAAACGCAGAGTGAAAAAAACATGGTTCACTTCCTCCACCCCCCTGAAAAAATTATGCTTACTATTTTCAAACTTAAATGATAACGGTTAAATAGAAAAGCTGTATAGATTTTAAATCCCACTATTATATTCTACTTTGTGCTCTATGGTACTATTAAAAAAATGTTTATGTCATCATCATCAAAGAATCAATAGCTTCAGCCTATAATCTGAATCACCAGTGATATTCAGCATGGGATGTAGGAACATTGGACTTGCATCCAAATTGCTAACTCAAGCATACCCAGAGGCCTGTTGGGTTTTAAGAACACACACACACACCTTGAACAGCAGGTGTTTATGCCACATCATAGGATTTTTTAAATTGCCACCTCAGTTTCAAAAGTGGTTTGCTATGTCAAGGGTGGGGGTATGTGTGACTGCCAACTTGTGTGAAGATATAGTTTGCTACTTCCTGGCCATTAAGTGTAGGAATTCTGCATGATGCCATGGCTGCCATCATAATTACAAGGAAGTCAGCAACAGTTTGACCCAGTGAGTCTTGTTTCCAAATAAAGACGGTGCTATTTTTCTCGAAAAAGAAGCGCCAGAAGTCACTTCGAACAACCTCCCTCTTTCTCTTAGAATGGCAATTGCACCCACCTGAGAGGTGCCAGGACTGAGTTCTGGCAAGTTCCAGCTTAAAAAAAGAAGAAGCCCTGAGTAAACACATTTATGACTGGGCTGTCTTTTTAAACTGGAAATGATTGTGGGATATTGATGACAATGAAAATTAGAAAAAGCTGCAATGTTGTGCTTCCAAACACTGCTGGTAAACATATTTAGTGCATTAAATCCTCGAAAGTTTCCAAGAGGGGAAAAAAAAACCAACCAAGTCCAAACCTCACAAAATAATAATAATAACCAACTGATACTTTAAAAGAAACTTGTGGTTTATTCTCCCTCTTAAAATTAAAAGCAAAAATCGCATGTCAGCATCAAATAGCTCCAGATTTTCTTCCAATACATTTTCAGGCTTAAGGGGAGATACTGTAGACTATCAAAAGGAAACCAGAAACCCTGAAGAGATACTTCTGAGTTGCAGGGGGGTAGTGGTCAATCGAGTGGAAATGACATCCACATTGCATATAAATAAAACATGCTAAGCACATTAACAGGAAGAAAAGAGTTCCAACATTCCCCACTGCCTAGTCCAGGCATATACCAGGATTACTGCTGAACTTCTCACAAGGTAAAATTTAGCAGTATATTTGTGATTCACCAACAGCAGAACCAACTTCAGTTTTTAAAAAAGCCATGCTTACCAGAATCTGGCAGGTTCCAATTACCTTTGCAGCTGCTAACTGATCGGAAACAAACACATTGGCCTGACTGATCTGCCGCAATTAGTGTGTGGCGACAGTGCAGATCTCCATGCATGAAAATCTTTATATGTGTTAAAATGGTTTCAATCTACAGGAAAGCTGCCAACCTTACAGGCTCTGGAATCATTCTTCACACAGAAGGCAAACCATGTGTGTACAATAGGTCCTGTGATAGCACATCACACCGATTCCCTCCTGCATGCATGCAAAGAAAGCAAGGACTCATACAAAGTGCAACACCTACAAAGTTGGAAAAGGCTGAGAACTTTTCACTCTAGCTTTCCCTTTGACTGCCATTTTTAGTTTAGGTCTGTGCATTTGCTTAGCTTTGGGATTCACTTGCTCAGAGTTGCAATGTTGTCAGAGCTGTTCAGTTTCCGTGGAATTATGACACATAGTTCATGAGGCTTTTCTTACAAGGTCTCAGACTACTTACTTTGTAGGAATTACATTTATGTCATAAGAACTACTCCAGAGTACAGTAAGAAGTTTAAAGTTATTTCTTAAGGTTTTTGACAAACTTGATAGGCTACAAAATTAGAGAAAATATTTATTTCTTTATTTCCTAAAGTTTATATAGTGTTTGATTGTTTTAAAAACCCTCAAAGCAGTTTACAAAAGAAATAAATCAATAAAATTATTAGTATAAACAGTTAAAACAATAAAAAATTAAAACCAGCAATAAACTAAACACACACCAGCAATCTGGGTAGATTTGTCTAAACAAAAATGCTTTTAGGAGGCGCCAAATAGAGTACAGTCAAAGCGCCTGCCTTATGTAATATTTACTTCTTTTGAAATCTGCTGCTAAATGCAAATCCCAAAAGTTTATTGCTTTATTTCCTAGAGGTTTCCAAAAAACCCTTTTATTTATTGTCATTTATCTTCTACAAATTTCCACATTTCCTGTGTTTTTTTAAACCTTCTCTTTAGATATTTTGGCTTCACTTTTTCCGAGCTGATTCTAATTTTGTGACTTCCTGCTCTTATTTCCAACCACCCATAGATGATAATGATTTCTTCATGTTCCTGGTCAAATATTTTTTAACTCATTCATTTAAGGTGCAATCCTAATTAATAGGGCTTACTTCTAGGTAAGTACATACGCATTGATTAGGAGGCAGTAGTCTGAATGTTACCAGACAGGTCTGTTGCAGCGGTCTGGTCAGTGGAGGTTAATGGAATCAGAAACATCACTGAAGATTATCTTGATGACACTGGCAGAGAGGTCAACTATCTTGTTTTCCTCAAGGAGGTGCCTCTCAAAGGACGGATTCTTCAGGAAGGAGAGAACAATTTGGGAATCAGAGCCAAGCTTACCCTCTTTGTGTGGAAAGTGATTTCATCAAAGTGCAGGTGTGAAAGCGAGCAATAAACCGGTAGTAAGGGGTAAAATCAGCTGTGGGTTAAAGCCTCAGCACCTAGGACTTGCCGATCGTCAGGTCGGCGGTTCGAATCCCTGCGGCGGGGTGCGCTCCCATTGCTCGGTCCCAGCGCCTGCCAACCTAGCAGTTCGAAAGCACCCCGGGTGCAAGTACAGTGGTACCCCGCAAGACGAACGCCTCGCAAGACGGAAAACCCGCTAGACGAAAGGGTTTTCCGTTTTGGAGGTGCTTCGCAAAACGAATTTCCCTATGGGCTTGCTTCGCAAGACGAAAGCCCATAGGGAAATCTCCGGGGACCTCTTTTAAATGCTAGCGGTGGGGAGCAAAGCCTTTCCCCCCCTCCGGCCTTCAGAAGAGGTCCAGGAAGGCTGGCGGGGGCCGAAAGGCTTTGCTCCCCACCGCCAGCATTTTAAAAGCAGTCCGGGATAGCAGGGAAGCGCTTCCCGCTATCCCAGACGGCTTTTGAAGGCAGGAGAGGTCCGCGAAGCCTGGGCGTGCTGATCTCAGCGCGCGCAGGCTTCGGCATGCCGGCAACTCTCCGCAAGCAGCGGCAGCGCTGCCGCTGCTTGCGGAGAGGTCCGCGAAGCCTGGGTGCGCTGATCTCAGCGCACGCAGGTTTCGGCATGCCGGCAACTCTCCGCAAGCAGCGGCAGCGCTGCCGCTGCTTGCGGAGAGGTCCGCGAAGCCTGGGCGCGCTGATCTCAGCGCGCGCAGGCTTCGGCATGCCGGCAACTCTCCGCAAGCAGCGGCAGCGCTGCCGCTGCTTGCGGAGAGGTCCGCGAAGCCTTGGCCGGACAGCTTTTGAAGGCAGGCGGGGGGGAGCAAAGACTTTCGCCCCCGCCAGCCTTCAGAAGAGGTCCTGGACCTCTTCTGAAGGAGGGCGGGGGGCAAATGTCTTTGTCCCCCCTGCCTGCCTTCCCAGGGGCTTTTAAATCGCCCCGGACAGCGGAGAAGTCCTCCGCTGTCCCGGGGCGATTTTAAAATGCCGCCCGCCAGCATTTTAAGATCGCCCCGGACAGCGGAGAAGCCCTCCGCTGTCCTGGGGTTTTTTAAAATGCTGGGGGTGGGAAGAAAAGCCCTTGTCCCCCCCCCAGCCTTCAGAAGAGGTCGGGGGACAGACTGTCCCCGGACCTGGTCTGAAGTCGGTTTCCCTAGGAACGCATTAATTGATTTTCAATGCATTCCTATGGGAAACCGTGCATCGCAAGACGAAAAACTCGCAAGAAGAAAAAACACACAGGACAGGGCAGTTTACTGGGAACAACCAATTGCCAATATGCAATTTCAAATGCTGTGTAAGTCTATCTGGATCCCATGAGGTAGTTAGGCTATTGCTTAAGAACACCACCTGCCCCTTTGATTTGGACAGAACTCCGGATCAGGCTTAACATACAACACCCCTTGCAAGGTCCAGCTACATGTTATGGCATACAGTATTCTAGGGCAAACACATGAAATCAGCTGTTGAGGAGGCAGGGCACAACTGAGTCGCCCTGCAAGTGGAATGACCACGAAGCAGAATGAGACAATTGTCTCAGGAGATGAACGCAGGAAAGCAGCAAACGGATGCGCCCCCCCTCCCCAGGTCCATCACTCACTACATTATCGCTCTCTGGTGATGCTGATGACCCACCCACCAAGTGAGGAAGGTGTGTATGTGTGTGTCTTTCCTCAAAGGAAGGCATTCTGGGGGTGGTGACCAGAAGGGTACTTGTACCACCACAGTCACCACACACAAAATGCTAAGGACTCCCCACCTTACCCTGGTCCTTCCTCGGAACAAGGCACTGAGGCAAGACAGAAGAGGTGGAGATAAACTGCCTTCCCACTAATGTGGGAAGGAGAGGAGGAATGGGGCGTGGCCAGGGGAAGCAGAGGAAGGAACCACTACCGTTTCAGGGGGTTGGACTAGATGACCCTCAGGATCCCTTCCAGCTCTTAATTCTATGATTCTATGAAGAAAGGGAGGGGTGGCATCAGGAAGAGGAGAAACGTGTGTGTGTGTGTGTGAGAGAGAGAGAGAGAGATGCAATCCCTTGCACACTGACCTTGGCCCCTCTTCTAAGGTATACAGCATGCAGACACAACTTCTGGCATTATCTTCTGCACTACTCTCATCAAAATCCTCACTAAATCAGGTGTACAGATTAGGAAGGCTCACCACAGCACTAGCCTCAGAGCAGCCACACCTTTAAACTACTGGTTTGTTTTTTTCCCCAAAAGAGAATTGCTTGCCACCCAAAGTTCTTTCGAAGAAAATCCAGCAAGGTGGAAGCCCTGTCTCCTAGATGCACAGGGACCGGCTGTGATCACTTGAAAATGCACTCTGCATGAATTCCTCTCACAGAGCTGCAATTCCCAGCTGTATTTCTCACTCAGGCTCTCTGGCACCCCGTGTGAAAAAGCCCTAGCAGACCAAGCACTGCAGAGCACCCATCAGAATAAATTTCAGGAGGGGCAGGTCACAGATTCAGCTTCCAGGTGAGTTAAATGCTGCTTTGAACCAGCCCTTGGCGGGTGACTCCTAGCCGCAAAGACAGTGCCAGACAAGTGCCAGAGAGAAACCCCACCCCACCCACTCTCTTATTTTATTTAAACCTATTTATATAAAATTTGTACACCACGCTCCATCCGAAGATCACAGGGCGGCTCGTGACATAAAAATACCAAATGAGAAACACAAAATATGCATTAAAACAAAAACACTGGCTCCAAAGGAACAGATATAAAGCGGTAGAAACCCCCATGGCCCGTCTGCCCCTTTTTGATACTAACCTGACATTTTCGGGGAATCCACCTGCGACAAGGGGCAGCCAGGAAAGAATTAGAAAAGTATTCCAGGCGAGCAGCACCATGCCTGAGGAAACTGAGGCAGCAACAGGAGGCAGTTGGGTAGAGCTGGGAGAGAGAGAGGGAGAGACAGAGAGATGTCCTTTAGTTTGAAACTGGAAGGGAAACCTACGCGCGACGATCCAGGGACGCTGCTGCCCACGCCTCCCTCTCTCTGAGGGACCCCGCCTCGCTTCTCGGGGTCTTCTGTTCCTCCCTGGCAGCTGGCTTCGCCGTTCTTCTTCCCCGCAGCTATTGGACTCTTCCCAGGCTTTCCATGGGGCAGGGGAGCAGAGCTACCAAGTGCGCAAAGCCGCAGGACCGAGGAGCCCGCGCTAGATCCAGACGGGAAAAACCACGCTGGGGTCTGAGCTTTGCCTCTCCGGGGTCTGCATGCCTCGGCCTGGGGGCGGGTCGGAGATTTGCATGGGAGATCCGCCCCGGCAGACCCCCACGTTGCTCAAAGGCCCTTCCCTCCCGCTGCAAACAACGGTTTTATTGCATGGAGAAGAGGTGGGCGAGTGGGGAGGGGGGCGGGGGCGGCACTTGCTTGAAATAATCGTAAACACGTGGCTTTATGCACCTCCAGCTTGGGTGTCCCCAGACAAGAGATCAGGTAATTAACAAATGAGAAACAAGCAAATGCGAGACAAGCATTGACCATAACAATCAAAATGGGTAAGGGGTTTTCGGGAATAAAGCGTCGCTCATATTACTTGGGACAGTAATAGATATGCAGTTTTATTTTTTATTTTTGGCGGCGGGTGCAAGGGGAACCTGACCTGCTGCCATTCCAAAAACTGGACTCTAGTGCAGTGCTAGAGCATCTGCACCACATGATGCAGAAGGTCCCAAGTTCAGTCCGTGGCATCCGAAGTTAAAAAGGGCCAAGGCACCTTTCCTCGCCGCAAACCCTGGAGAGTTGGTGCGCATGACTTTCTCCCAAAGGATCCTGGGAGCTGTAGTTCGTTAAGAGTGCTGAGAGTTGTAGCTCTGTGCAGGATGAACTTCAGTTCCCAAGATTCCTTGGGGGAAGACATGTGCTTTGAGCATAAGGTGCATATACTGCTCAAATAGTCTGGACTGCCTTAAAAAGGTAAAGGGACCCCTGACCATTAGGTCCAGTCGTGGCCGACTCTGGGGTTGCGGTGCTCATCTCACTTTGTTGGCCGAGGGAGCCGGTGTACAGCTTCCGGGTCATGCGGCCAGCGTGACTAAGCCGCTTCTGGCAAACCAGAGCAGCGCACGGAAATGCCGTTTACCTTTTTGCCGGAGCGGTACCTATTTATCTACTTGCACTTGGACATGCTTTCGAACTGCTATAGGTGGGCAGGAGCTGGGACCGAGCAACGGGAGCTCACCCCATCGCGGGGATTCGAACCGCTGAGCTTATCTCTGAAGTCTTTTCCAAGTGACTCCTTTATTGAGCATTCATCCTGATTTGTTTGCATGAAGTTTGTGAGGTGGTTAGGCAATGCCAGCAATTTATTGAGCAGTCGTTGTGATGTTGGGAAAAGTTATATGATGTCACACTGAGCAATTGTTATCCCAAACATTCCATTGCTTTCCCCGTGATTGACTTGTCACAACAGGTCTGATTTTGGGGGAAGCGGGTTTGTCACACAACTTGAATTGTGCCATTTGAATTTCGCCAAGATGTAGTTTAATCCTACCCAAAATCAAATCTCCTTAAATAACGTAGAGATCAGGGTATACCTGCACCAGCCCCTTGTTTCCCTTTCACCTCATTTAACTATCTCAACTTGCATGGATGCCAACATTGCTATATTTCCTGTGGCACTTTCTTCTCTTAGGACATTTGGACTCGGGTGCCTTATTTTCAGAATAAGTCTGTATGTGTGCTATTAGAACAATGTTCAGTGCAGAGATCCACCCTGTTAACTGCGACAGAGTCTACAGCATTAGGCTTGGGACCTCTGTACCTTAAGGAATACCTCTTCTGTAGGTCTGCTCAGATCCTTAGCTCACCTACAGGTGCCTCATCTGAAATAAATTTGGAGAGTGACAAGGAAGGAGAGGGCTTTCTTAGTGGCTCTCCCTAGTGACGTCTGCCTGGGACAATTCTGAATTTATTCCAGCACCAGTCAAAAACCTTTCTTTACCACCAGGCATTTGAATGACAGCCAATTGCTTCTCAGAATGGGATCAGCTTTTAATATTAACTGTGTTGTGTCAATGGAGAAGAATTTGGCTAATGACAACAGGATTGCTGCATGTGTCTTCGTTCCAAACTAGCAGGACAAAAAAAAAAAAAGTGCAATTTTGTGTTCTGCACTGCTGACATGGCAAGAAATTCTCTGGGAAATTGCCTTTCGCTTCCATCCCAGAGACTGAATGCAGCATAAGTTTCCAGTACTAGGATTATCTCTAGCAAAGGCTGTGGATGCATTCAAGCACACATCTCCATTGAATTGAAATGTTATTGGTGCACTGAGACCTACCTGCCCACAAATCCCTAAGGACACACCAAGGACTGTCTCTTCTCCTGGTATTTTCTTACTGTATCAATAAAGCTTGAACTCTAGTGAAAGCCCCTTTGGGATTACATGGAGTTTACATTATGTTCTTCAATGCTTTTCCTGCCTATTCCTTTGCATTGTGTCTACAGATCCTACAAGGAAGGGGAGGATGTTCAGGCTTTAAGGATAGATAAATCCTCCAGGGCCAAACTAGGCTATATGCTAAATGCATGATTGCATTTAAAGTACCCAGTTCCTCCTGTTTAAATAACAGCCACAGGCTGTCCTATTCAGGATCAGCACCGTGGCATACAGTGTGGAGGGGTTAACCCTCGCCACACAGTCCTGACAAAAACAAACCTCCTCCAGCTGCTATTTCCCCCAGGAGAGAAACTGGTTTGTGTAGAACCCAACATATAATGCCCACCCTCCTTATTTGAACTTCTATTCACCCCCACATTATTTTTTTTCAATTATCTTTTCTGTAAGCCACCCATCCCCTTGGGATCTTCCCAACACTTTTTTGAATGAATGAAAGAAAAGACTTGTACATGGCTTTCGCTAGGAATTTTGGAAAGTATGAATTCATTGCTCTGGACATGGTTTGCCTAGATTTCTGTCACTCTTGCCTCCCCCCCCCCACTGTTTCTCTGTGTGTGTTCATTCATTCATATTCGTTCATTGGTATTCTAAAGTCACTCTGTAACATGGAAAATCCATGTTTGGGTAGATTATTATTATTATTATTATTTGCCTATCTGTTTTCCCATATATTACTACAATGAAATGTAGCCTTCTTAACTTCCTTTGAACATCATTCCATGATATTTAAACATGAAAGAGGCCTGTAATGTATAGCTGTGCTCTGGCAAGGTTAATGTGCTTCATGTTAACTGATTGTCCCATAACTCAACCCCCTTTGAAACTTAAACCTTACTAATGGCGAGCTTGAACCTCTCTCTCTCTGTCTGTCTGACAGAAGAAGGGATCTGGCACTCCATCCCATGCAGGGTCAGTCAGGGCCTCCCTGGACGAGAGTGGAGAGATCTGCGTCTCCTCAGCGCTGGCCCTTTTTCAACAAGCTGGCTGAGCCAAAGTATCTGACTGAGGAGGAAAGCAAAAACCATAGGTCAGAGAGACAAGTTGAGGCCAGTACCCAGTATATCAGGACTGGGGAACATGTGGCCATCCAGATGTTGGTGAACTACAACTCCCATTATCCTGTCTGGGGATGATGGGAATTGAAGTCCTATCAGCATTCGGATGGCAGCAGACATTTCCCATTCCTGAAATAAGTAGGCAGCCTGGGCAAGTGTGAAGAAAGAGGCAGGCAGCAAAACTGGCAAGGGCTTAGGGAAAGGAGCATTTTGTGAGCTGCGCACAATAGAAACTTTGGCATACAGTCAGTCAATAGAGCAGAGGCCTGCAGCCCAGAAGCCTGGGGCCTGCAACGTGCCCAAGCCACGCATCTCTCCTGGGAGTGATACGGTGGCTCAAGCGCCTGCAGGCTCCGCACTGCCCAAAAGGGCAGTGTGGGGCTTGTGTCTGCCCACCGCCCCCCCCCCAGCTGTAGTTCATCCTGGGCGCAGGGTGTGCATGCTGCCCCAGGCGCCCAAGCAGCTAGCTATGCCCCTGGCTCCCCCCAAAGAATCTTGAGAACTGTAGTTTGTTAAGGATGCTGAAAGTTGTTAGAATATCCCTGTTCTCCTGATAGAGCTCCAATTCCCAGAGTTTCCTGGGAAGAGAGATTGGTTTTTAAACCACTCTGGTAATTGCAGCTCTGTGAGGAGAATAGGGGTATCCTAACAGCTCTCAGCAGAAGGCTGATTGCCGAAGAATGGATGCTTTTGAATTATGGTGCTGGAGGAGACTCTTGAGAGTCCCATGGACTGCAAGAAGATCAAACCTATCCATTCTTAAGGAAATCAGCCCTGAGTGCTCACTGGAAGGACAGATCCTGAAGCTGAGGCTCCAGTACTTTGGCCACCTCATGAGAAGAGAAGACTCCCTGGGAAAGACCCTGATGTTGGGAAAGATGGAGGGCACAAGGAGAAGGGGACGACAGAGGACGAGATGGTTGGACAGTGTTCTCGAAGCTACCAGCATGAGTTTGACCAAACTGCGGGAGGCAGTGGAAGACAGGAGTGCCTGGCGTGCTCTGGTCCATGGGGTCATGGAGAGTCAGACACGACTAAACAACTAAACAACAACAACAACAGCTCTCAGCACCTATAACAAACTGCACCAGGATTCTTTGGGGGAAGCCATATCTGTTTAAAGTGGTATGGTACCACTTTAAATGCATGGTGCAAGTCCGGCCTTTATCTCTTTGGCCAGAGCCAAAGGTCCCCTGTCCTAAGTGCTGTGTACAGCAATACAGTCTTGTTAATTGCCACGGTTCCTGCACAGGGAATGGGGACAGCTCTGTAATGCTGAACAATGGAACTGACATGCTGGATCTTGTGCTCTCATTATACTGCTGTGTAGTGGAATCTGGGATCATGCTGTTAGCTGCCTTTTAAAAAATGGTCTTTAAAATTGCAGAGACGGGATGGAAAAAGAATGTCCATCCCAGAATCAGGGAGGGAGAGAAGGAAGGTGCCCTGAGTAGTTTTTCACTGCAATGTACATGGTTAAGTACTCTTTCAGAAAAGCAGAAAAACCATGCACCAAAAAACTTTCAATTATCAAAGCTCATTTACACACACAACACCACTGAAGCAACTGATATTTAGAGACATAAAGCAGTGAAGGTAGAACATAGCCATCATAACTAGTAGCAATTAATAGCCTTATCTTCCATGAATTTGTAATTGATATTTTAATTAAAGTGTTTTTTCCTGAGTGAACACTGAGCACAGTAAAGCCACATACCTGGGGGGAAATATATACAGGGCAAGTTGGAAAACACCCATTTGACTTCCAGTTTCCGGAACAAAGGTACATTAAAGTAAAAAAATTATAATTACAAATCTGCTAGTGCCTA